ACAGGGAGAGACCAACAGAAACATATGTATGAAATTTGAGAGATATCAATTCAATACTTCTTAAGAAATGGCGTTAACAAAGTTTATTAGGCAAAATCTAAAATGGTTGCCTGTCGGCCATATTGTTTTTTCTGAACTCAAACAGGCACAATGAGGAACCTAAAAGAACCGATGAAATTTGAGAAAGATCTATAGAGTAGTTCTAAAGAAAACTTTCGAAGCCAAAATTCAAGATGGACGCTTGTGGGCCATTTTGTTTTTTCCTGATCAGCACCAAAATCAAACAGGCAAATTACTAGGGTACAAGGGAAACCGACCTATGAAAGTTAAGAAAGAGGCATCCAGTACTTCTCAAGAAATAGTGATAACAAACTTCATTGAAAAATTCCAAGATCATTTTGTTTTTTTTTTATCAGTCCCACAATTACATGGGCACAACTAGGGACCAAGAGGAACCTACATATCCATCGAGTATTTCTCAGAAAATATCGATAACAAAAATTGATTACAGATAGACGGACAGATGACGGATTGACGGATGGATGGACCACGGACCTGGAACGCAGAGCGATTTAAATATCCCACTATCTGATGATGGTGGGCTGAAAATTATCACACGAAGTGTAGCAGTGGCAATGCTTAATGTAATGAAAAATCATTACATTAACCATTAAAGTACTGGTATATAAGGCTTTAACATATAAAGAGAAATATGTTATTAAGACCAGTTTTATGTTCTGACATCTTATCTGTTTCTCAGAATGTTATCTACAGTTGTCAAATTAAGGCGTTTTTACACACAAATGTTGTAGGCTTGTTGCTTTTGTCTCTTTGACAAGTGGGGAATCGGAAATATCAAATAAAGATAGACAGGGACAAGATATGATCAATGTGGGGTGTCAAACCATCCTCAGTATATAGTATGTCATGGATATTTCATGCTTGATAGAAACATTCTACAGGTGGCATGATAATGTAACAAACCTAGGTACACAAAATTCTAGATTATCTGAGAACAGACTGTCCTGCGCTGACGTGGTTGTGTCATTTAGCAAGAAACTTGTTTGATGTTACGGTTTCGCCATTTTTTTCAATATTCCTAATGACTTTTCCTGTCTTACTCACCTGTTAAGGATATAGTATATAGTATGTTAACTATTCACAATTACCCTCTCAAACCAAATAAAAAACAACAAACAATACAATTTTTTCAACATTTAGTGGTATTAAAGAGCTCTGGCTAAGGCTTGCGGTAACACAGAATATCTTTATGTTGATTGCTGAGAATATCATATGAAAAGATGAAGCATGTTGGCGTGAGGAAGCATATAAAAGTACACTAAGCCTCTTTGTCATCCTTAAGTACAATAATAATAATTAATAAATAATAATAAATTCTTTTATTTAAACCGGGTAGCATATTTAGACTTGCGTGTTTACAATATGGCACTATGAAACACATATTTACATCAGCACATTACAGACGAATACAGAACATTAACATGTTGACATGACAATACATGATATACATAATGTATTAAATAAGATACCTCAGTAAGTATGGATAAGAACAGTTCATCATTTGGTTGCATAAAAAACTAAATATCAAATTAAATATCAAAAGTTTTCTGGGCATAATGGATATGATTTATGAAATAATTAAATACACAATACAAAATCAATACAGTACTATCACAGATGAGCCAATAATTGACGAAAACATTTTATGAAGTTGGATTAAAATATTTTTTCAGGTACAGTTTTTTTAAAAGACAAAAAATTGTTGCATTCCTGATCTGTTCACTAAGATTATTCCATAGGGACGTGTATGAATATTTTAAAGAACGTTTGTAGAAAGTAGTTCTGTACTTAGAAATATATAATTTGTTTGAACTAAGAGAACGAGTTGTCCTGCTTGAAATTTGGCTGACATATGTAGATAAATTTTGCTTCAGATATCCAGGAGCCTCATCATTTAGGATCTTATATAAATAAATATAAAAATGAAGTATAGGCATCCAGTTCAAATTCTTTAAAAGCAGAGAGGTTGGAGTAATGATTTCTTTTATGTTTGAAATAATTCTGGCTGCTCTTTTTTGGAGCTTAAAAAGCTTCTCTGTAAGTGAGGTATTTGAAGGGGTACTCCAAACAGAAGAACAATACATAACGTGTGGTAGGACAATAGTTGTATACACTTTTTGTACATTTCAATTAACATAAATTTTCTAACACGTTTTAGAACACCAATCTTTTTTGACAGTTTCTTACATAAATATTCAATATGGTCATTCCATGATAAATAATTATCAATCTAAACTCCAAGCAGTTTAGCACATCGGACAGTTCCAATGACAACATTGTCTACTTTAGCCACTTGAACACAAACTTTTTATCTGCAAATATTCTGGTGTCAGATTGAACTACTAATGTAGTTCCACTTGCACACAAACTTTTTATTTGATGATGAATAAAGTTTCGTGACAAATAAAAAATACTTTAATTGCTGTTTCAATATTTTTATTTATAAATTGCTTAATTAAGAAGTAATTCCTCCGTCATACTGGATACATCTGAGATTTAGATGTAAAGACATATCTTTGGTCAAACTATTCCATTTTATGGCACATTAGAAGGTAGGCACAAGATGAACGTAACAAAGCTATATTTGGTTATACACAAAATTAATGATATTCAGTATACAAGTGCATATAACATTTGACACAAAATTTCTTTTCAAAAGTACTTCATATTAATTTCAAGATGTTCATATAATTTAACCTAACATTTACAATATATATGACATATTCATTTTTACATGCTTCTAATCAGTAATCATCGACTGCCGCAGACAAAACTTTTCACTAGGGGCAATATATGTGTTGGTTGTATACTGAATCTATCATTCAATAAGCATTAATTCAAAGTCAGAGTGTGGAAATAGCATTGTTATTCTTCTAAACAGTAACTTATATGGATGGACTATATCCTAGATATTAGCATATTGCCAGATAAATACAGTTTATTATAGATAATGAACAAGAGATCCTGCAATGATATTGGTGCCCACCATTGTTTTATCTTTATTTGTTCTTTAAGATTTACATATTTTCCTGTCGTCTATCGTCTTTCAAGAACAATCCTATATATAAGAAATTTGGGAAAGAACCATCCAGTACTTCTCAAGGAATAGTGATAACAATCTTTCTTTGTCAAAATCTATCGTGTTCGCCTGTTGGATTAGTTTTTCTGATCAGCCTTACATTGAACTGGCATAACTGAAATACATACAATGGTTAAAAAAGGACTTCTATAATGGAGGCTTATGTCGCTAACGTTTAGAAATCTAACATCTGGCCATAGCACTTCATAATCCAGGTTGGCTAATAAGTTATTTGAAATGTCTGTAAGGAACAAAGACCATGCAATCAACTCCATAGGTGTCATATCTGGGTGTAGTGTAAAGTTATCACATCTGTATGTATTGTATAGTTATCACATCTGTATGTATTGTATAGTTATCACATCTGTATGTATTGTATAGTTATCATATCTGTATGTATTGTATAGTTATCACATATGTTTGTATTGTATAGTTATCACATCTGTATGTATTTACATGATGTTCTATGTTTTGTTTGCATTGTATAGTTATCACATCTGTATGTATTGTATTGTTACATCATCTGTATGTATATACATGATGTTCTATGTTATGTTTGTATTGTATAGTTTTCACATCTGTATGTATTGTATAGTTGTCACATCTATATGTATATACATAATGTTCTATGTTATGTTTGTATTGTATAGCTTTCACATCCGTATGTATATAAATGATGTTGCATATCATGTTTGAACATTATTGTGTCAATATTAGGTCCATAACATGATTTTGAAATTTCAAAATCCGGATAAAATATTGGGTAATTCTAGTAGATTTTTATGAATTGAGGGAGTCAAGATACAGTTAACCGTCAATGATATCTTGAGATGTCATATGCACAAATATCATATGCACTCATTCCCCTGCATGAACAGAAAGCAATGTACTTTTCTGATTATAAATCAAAACACGTAATCTCCTAACTAGTCAGGGGTGTGTTCTGATGCTTTAAAATATATAATACAGAAACGGTTAGCGATATCAGACATTTCATGTTCTATAAACGAATTTCATATGTTTTAGCATTTTTATATTTCAAACCATGGACTAAATTCACAGGGGGCGTTTTATTGTTCTAGATCTGCAAAAATAATACAAAAACCAACAGTTTATAAAAACAATCATGTTGAATTATTCTAGAATCTCCTTATGAAACAAGTTCTAGTTGTAACAAAGATTGTTACATGAGTCCCCCAAACTATCCCTGTTATCAAAGTCATTTTTATTGAAGTAGGGAATAATTCTACTCAAACGCTACATTAGAGCAAGACTCCCGACCTAGACCACAGAGGCAGTCATGCAAGACTCAGATAAACCTGTGGCCAGTAGATGACACCGGACATAACATTGTGATGCTTATGTCATTGAAGAAAAAACACGACAAAGAAAATGCTGACATTTCACAAAGTCTTACTTCAAATATAAATTCAACGAAAGTATGGCAAAATATGAACAAAAGAAAGATTTACATAGAGACTCCTAAGAAAGTGTAAGAATAAGACTGATTGTTTCTCATGATTTTCAATAACTTGCATCTTTTTCAAATATGAGCTACATCTGTCCAAAGGTCCATGAGACATTTTGTAAACAAGGCGTGCATGCAGTAAGACAGACACTCTTTTGTACATACATGTATACACAAATTGTACCCGTTATCTCCCTTAACAAAATGGAGACAAATTACTTACAGTGTTATCATAGATAAAGTCCAAATAATACATTATATTTTCATAGACGTCTGTAAATTCTGAGTTCAGACAGGAAGAAGCACCGAACGTGAGAGTCCTACTAATTCCATTTTACCTCTTGGTTCTAACACAATAGAGGTCCACCAAAATCAACCTGAAATACAAAAAGCAATGGTCTTTTACACAAAAACCAGTGGTTATCATGATATTTTGCCAATCCTAGATTTCCTAACACCATTCATACTGTTTTCGTTTATTTATTTATTTATTTATTACATTGTATATAAAAGAATACCTTTCAGTAACTGATATACTGAAAAGATTAATAAAAAGTTGATGAAAACAGCATAGCCAATAAAGAGCCTTAATGTATACCACGAGTTGTAAATGTCTGAATAGCTGTTATACATCATAAAAATCATGATATCAACTAAAGGGAAATAATTTGAACTACCAGGTAATTCATACATTCTGTGACCATTTCAAGGCTACATATTATTTTTATAACTTAAGATATATTATTTAGTAAGATATTATATTAACCTGCTATATCTATAATTTTTTGTGTAAGATGAAAAATACGGGAAATATAAACATGGTCATGTCGTTATGACATCATCTGATTGCAGTCTTTTTCAAAATGGCGTCACAAAATCAGAAGGCTAGGGAGATAGCCAACTTCATTTCGAAAGTCAACCGATGCAAAACTATCAAAGCAACAAGTAAAGATATTGGTAAATAAATTCCAGCAGACAGGATCTGTGGAAGGCAAAGATCCAAGCACGTCCACAGACTAGCATGCGCGCTGTGGTTGTTCAGAAGATTATATCGGAAACTTCAGAGAGGTCAGTTTGAAAAGTGCTAGATGACATTGAAAATATGGGATCTGCTAATTTAAGCTCTGGCTATGGAAAAGTTAACAGAATGTTATGGTTTTCACTTGAATCTGTTTTCATACAAAGTCCCAGTGATGCAAAATTTGAGGGATACAGATGTTACAATGAGACTACAATTTGCTCATCGGATGACTAACAACATGGGTATCACTGATAGCGTATGGTTTTCAGATGAATCCCACTTTTATTTAAATTCACAACTTAACAGGCAGAACTGCCATGTACGGAGAAAGGAAAAACCAGACTATTTCAAAGAGAACCTGCATGGTGACAAAGTGACTGGCTGGTTTATGCTAAGTTCGGTTGGTGAAATTATACCATTTTTCGTTGAATCAGAAGGGGAAACAGCATCGGTAAACAGTGGACAGTATTTCAACATGTTAAAATGTATATTCCTTCCCGCACTCAGAAAGTGAGGTTTTAATGTTGATTGCACAGAACTATTATTGAAATCTGCAAGGACGCAATCAACAATTTTAAGAAAAACGCAATCAACATTTGAACATATTGTGTGATTTTTGAGAACATTTTCAATCAGTTATAAATTCTACAAGAGTTAAAATAAAACATGATATTGATATGTATTGTATTTCTGTAAAAGCTATGTTAAAGGGATCATTTTCATTAAATTCACTTGAACCATGTAAAAATGTTACGTAAGTTACGGGCCCTGAATCTGTTATAGTACATTTTCTCTAATTATGACTAATATATACATCAAGTTTCATTATCCTACTTTTTATGTAAGCAGAGCTATCCTCATGAGACATACTTTAAACAAAGGCCAATAACTGTGTACTGAGGGGCCATGGACACTGATTTTGCTACACTGCACCTTGATTTTGTATGACTGATACATAGATCATGTTTCAATATACTAGTTTACATGGAGGCAATTAATGCTCCGGACACAAAATTTTCGCAAAGTGCAATAACTCTCTATTAATGAGATGTATGCCCTAACATTAGTACATTGCCCTTAGTCTTTGTAAAATCAATTTCTACCATAACCTGCGTATGTTATCTCACGCCCAGACTATTCATTAAATACCATATCAATTGTTTATTCATACGCATAATACAAAAGTGTATTATTGGTGACAGCCAAATTATTGGACGAGGCATTGACATTTGGCCCAACAATGATCTGTGCCCCCGAACTACTTTCGCAACGTGCGATTGTTTTCATCGTCTGCTGTCCATCATCAACATGGCTGACAGTGACGATCTGTCATTCTTGCCAGCGGTCAAGATCGGTGATGCGGAGGGAAAAGGGGATAGTAATTGGTAAATGCAGTAATTTTGGTTTCCCAACCTTTGACCTCGTTAGTTAATTTTCAAATTTAGAAAAGACACTCGGCAGAGCCTCGTGTCTTTTCCAAATTTTAAAATTAACTAACTCGAGCTAGATAACGATGATAATCAACTACCACTCGTTGCAGAACCTCTATGTTTACAACAAGTTTCATTATCCTACCTTCATTTGGGACACAGCACAGTTTTAATGCAAAAGATGTGCTCTAGACAAAAAAAGTTAACAAAGGGTAATAACTCTGTAATTAAACAGTTGCGGATCTTGAATTTAGTACTGCTCACGGTCTTAGTATAATCAATGTATACATTAGGTTTTGTTTTCTTAGGTAAAGACATGAAAGGACAAATGGAAAGATGGACTATTTGCCCCCAAGAAAATTTGCAATGAGCAGAACAGACCTCAATACACACCTACATTGTACATATGGCTCATAATATTTCTGTATAGTTCCATTAAAATTATTTTCCAAATTCCATGGGCATTATATGGTTATCATGACAACTAAATGACATTAGGTCTTTTGGAAAATAGTAATTGCCATTCTAAAACGTTAACATGATTGGACAATATTTTATTTTGACCAATCAGGATCCTTAATTGTTTTTCCATAGTAAAGGCTTTGGAAACTTACACTTTTATAAATCATTACATTTGACCAGTTTTCATTAAATTTTATCTAAGTACTGTCAAGTTATGAACCATTATTATTTACACTAATACCTTTGTATATCGACCTGTTGTCAAATCCCCTTGTTTGTAAACTTTTGTTTGTAAATAATAAAATTGACTTAAATTGACAATTGTTACGATTTGTATAATGGGAACAGTTATTGACTTACTTTTTACTACAGCAGCATACGTGGCAAAAAACCCTTGGTAGACTATTGAATAATCACTTGTAAAATGTAGCAACATTACACTGCCTGTGGATGATACAGGATGAGGAAGACTATGTCCGGACAAACTGAAAAAAAATAAGAAGAGTCAGTAAACATTGAGATGCTGAAAGCATTTTGGAGACATTGTATTCCATGCGAGACCAGTGGATCAGACTTCTATTCTGAATGTTGAATGTTGTGTGTCATAGTGTGCTTTATTCACATTCTGAATGTTGAATGTTGCGTTTCTTGGTGTGCTATATTCAAATTCTGAATGTTGAATGTTGTGTATTGTGATATGCTATATCAAAATTCTGAATGTTGAGTGTTGTGTGTCTTGGTGCAAAATGGTGAATGTTGAATATTATCACAGCTGTCACAATGATATTTCACCATTGGGTATGTTCATGAGTAAGGTTACAACAGAAGGGGGTCACAATAATGGATTTAGGTAATATTAGAGGGTCAGTTTACACCAGTGGGGTTCATAATAGTGGATTAGGGTAACATTAAAGGGTTATGTTACAACAGAGGGGGTTACAATATTGGATTCGGATAATATTAGAGGGTGAGTTTACAACATAGGGGGTTACAATGGTGGATTGCGATAATATTAGAGGGTAAGGTAACAACAGTTTATTACAAAGAATTATCAAGTTATTTTTGTATAAATTGGTTATGTAGCTCCCCTCTATAACTGTATTCAGTAGCTTCCACACTTTTCAGTTTACCTTGAAATCAGTGGTGCAGACGTATTATATCCATCATATATCCTCAGCTTATCGAAGCCATTTTCAACTTTAAAAACCATGAAAGTTACAGTTATGTAATATCCAGGATCTACTTCTTTAATCCACAGAACATTGTCATGGTTGTTGTAGTTTTGTGGAAAGTTAGGACTGTATATAGTCCTTGGAGTGTCTGAAATAAGATCAAAAGTTCAAATTAAGAACTGATCAATGAATACAAATGTATTCAATGAATACAGAAGCAAAAAAAAATTCTGAATCATAGATAAATCCACTTCTGTTTTGCAGAATTCCTTATTTTAACAATATGAATAAACATCAAAGTTTCAAAATCATTTCATGGAAAACAATTTTTAATCATCAAGAAAAAGAGTCCTTCCATAATTCAACAAGATGGACAACATGCCTATGTAACTCATCTGGTTTTAATAGATACAACAACAAACAACACCAACATGTCAACAGAATCTCCAGTTCGACGAAACAAAATCAAAACAGAGTAGAATAGACAAGGCGCACTGTAAAGGGTAACACTGTCTTCTCTTTTATTGAAGAAACTTGCTACGTAAAGCTTGGTCAATCGATGTGAATAACATCCTGTTCCCAAAATAGAACAATGTAAACGACAATGGAACCACGTGCCAACAAGCCTTCAACACGTTAAACGTCATAGCATACAAAGAAATATAATAGGTTCGATCACTATGATGACCATTAACCTTCCCTATAATCTACACCTACCTACATCTTTCAAAATCCTATGTGTGAATCCGATAGCTGTCGTTATCTTACTCGAAAATAGTACTAGTACTATGAATTATTTCAATTTGAGGCAAAAATATTTCATTTTTATTTAATTTAATCAGTCTCTAACATGGTTGGAAATTATCTTTAAACTAACATCTTTAAGACACTTCCTTACAAGTGAACGGCTACCAAAGTACTTTTAACAGAAGCCATTTCGTAAAGCAGTGACAGTCTGCTGTCTGTGAAACCATGCGTGTATGAGCGAAAATCGGCCTTGGCACTGTGCTGTGGACCTTAACCAGCCTATAGAATGATGTCTGAATGGGTCTCTGTTTGCTTAGAATGTTTATACATTCTTGACATCATATAATTTTGAGACAACCGCAGTCTGACGTTAGAATAGGCCAGCTGGCAACATTATGGTACCCCTACTCACTTCTACAGCATTGAAGCATCTTATGCCATATCAGTAAAAGAAATCAAATCGATTCAAGTTAGCACAAAGTCTTACTTAACAAAGCTTAACTTTTGAAAGAAATGTACACCTGAAATGCGTAAACCCGTGACCGCTAATAAGGCATAAATGTTCACCGAAATTAGAAAAGAAGGAACAATATCTCCTTACTAATTTATTGGGTTTTTTTTTGTTTTTTGTTTTTTGTTTTTTTTTTTTTTTTTTTTTTTTGGGTTTTTTTTTTTTTTTTTTTTTTTTGTTTTTTTTTTTTTTTTTTTTTTTTTTTTTTTTTTTTTTTTGTTTGTTTTTTGTTTTTTTGTTTTTGTTTTTATTTGGTTTTTTTTTGTGTTTTAATATAGATAATTTTTAGCAAATTGTGAGGAATATGTACTGAATAGTTGGTATCTTTCACAGGTCAAAGTTTTGGCTTTTTTTTTTTAAATGATCAAAATGATTTCACGATTTGGGATTTCTAAAAATTAAAATCCATACGAGTCTCATTATTAAATTTTCGCGATCACATCACGTACCACGAAAAAGTGAATATATATCTATACCTCGGGAAATAATCAGTTATACAGGATATGCATGTAGTTATGATAATTTCTATTAATTTACATGATTTTTTAACACATTCCTGTAAATAAAATCAAATTTTTACTAAAACTTTTACTGTCGTACCAGACTGAACCCTTACATATTGTTAAGGAGCCAAAAAAAAAAAAAAAATAAAGAGGGTCCACTCCAAAACAATATAAATCTTTCGGAGAACGGTATCAATTGTTTTGAATGAATGAACGATCATGGGTCCATTTTGTGCAAGAATTATGATGATGATAAGGATGATAATGATGTACGTGCATTATAATGTTAGAACTGATATGATTTTTATGATTTCCATGTTTGAATACGAAGATGATTGATAATGGACTTTGCATATTTATTATATATATGTATATATATATATAAAAAATGTACGAAAAAGACTTCTCAATGCTTTTTTGGGGAAAATGACAACTTGGGTAAAACTTAGACACAATGAACTCACTAGAACCTGCTTTTCAGAATATGAAGTTCAATAATTAAGATAATTATCATTTTTTTATCAAAACAATTGTTTCTGTATTAGCGAAGTATTTCCTAAGTGTTTGAGCTTATTTCTTTCTGTAAACATAAAATGCAATAATGTTACAAACAATCATAAAGTTATTGAATATCAACAGACAAAATCAAGTACGGTCGAAATAGAGGAATTTAGACTTTCCTATTTGTTTTTATATTTTCAGCCGTTAATTCTTTTAAAAGAGGAAGACAGCATTGATTAGATTCACTCTGAAATTGAATCCATTTTAGTATGTTCACATTTCACGTTTATTAACAGCTGATAAGAGATTTGTAAATTGAGAATTATCATTTCATTTAACGGAAGTAATATCATGATATTTTGATTATTGTTCGAACAAAATTGTAACTTTTGCACAATATTAAGCTCATCAGTAAAGCACTGCATTCAGATGGATCAAAGTTGCTTAGTGAGACTACACAATAACATGTTGAGTAGAATATCTTGTTATATATCACTGATATGCTGAGACATGAAACCTGTCTGAAATGATTATTAATTTTACCTATTCAGTCGGCCCAGAGACAGGCACTGATGAGTGAGACTTAGGTTAAAGCGATAAATCAAACCCCTTTACCAAAGATGTATTAGAATCAATAAGATATTGATTTAGAGGTTATCAACATTTCAAAGAAAAATTATAAAGCGAGGATGGATGAACGGACAACCAAAATAGTACAATAGCATCAAACGTTTGGATGACTGAGATGAGCTAAAAATAACTATAAACAAAAACTACTTTTTTTCAAATGTGGAAGGTAGATTATTGTTAAAAGTGATTAATACAATTATAGAACAGCAAGGTACCTGTAATTGCAGTGTATGCCATGTTAAACCCAATATCTGTGAACAAGTGGTTACTGTAAAATACCAATTTCACGAAGCGAGCACTGGATTGATTGGATATGGTAATATACTTCCGGACAAGCTGGAAACCATTAAATACATTACAATGCTACTATGATGAATTATGGCTGTGTTTCATGCACATAATTTTGAATTGCAAACCCATCGAATAAGACACATTGTGTGGCAGGACCACGTGCGTTTTCCCTGCGTACTGCGATTTTCTTCCCCAAGAACACCCCACGTGTTTTCCAATTCGTGTCAATAAGGGTGGTTAATATTATTTGATTATTTAATATTTTGTAGAATGTATATAAAATGATTAATAAACAAATAGCCTGTGTTATGTACATGGATCTATCAAATGTATGAACAATTCATGTACGGACATCTGACGAATAGGCAGCTAATACAAATAATGTATGGATGAATGATTTTCGGGGGAGAATGTCACTCATATTCGAAAACATATCAAAGACTGAAACACAACAAAAAAGTACAATAATGTGAGTTCCAAGTGATCTATGAATATGGTATTACTATTAAACGCATTAATAAAAAGTTAATTAACTCCATTAGTTAGATTCCCACACATTTTGCTCTTTTGTACATTATTACCAGGGTTTTGCTGGCTGTTTGATTGATAAAAAGCTTTCCATGCAATACTACATTTTATTTTACTATACTACCTTTTTCTGTCAAATTAACAATTATTTGACTTATGTAATACTTAATAGTACTTTTTACGATTCCTTGGACAGATTCTAAAATTATCGATGATATGATTGTTGGAGTGTTTGACTGATTTCTGATGGTCTGCAGAGAATCTGCAATCACGGTCCAGATTATACTCTCATCCAGCACAACTGTAGTATTACTTCTCGTTAACAAATTACTGGTGAACCAGATGACAAAATCGACAATCGTGCTGCTTCCATTACTGAAATATAAAAAATAACATTTCAATTCCATAAACGGTAGAATATAAGCAAGATAACGGAATACAAGATAACAATGAAAAAAGTCACAGTCAGCATTTTTTTTCAAAATTTATGAAAGGACGGAAATACATCAGCAACAGACAGGAATAAATGGTAAACCTTAAAACGTACGATGAAAATCAGACCATTTCTTTTGGAAGGGTACTTCATATCAACATAACGTCAAGTTCAGCCTATGTTCAGTGTGTCGACTTAGGTTCCATCGCAATATACAGGCTACTTATTGTACTGTTAGAGGCTACCTAGCAACATGGACAAAGACTAACTAGCAACACATGGATATAAACTACCTAGCAACATATTGATATAGACTACCTAACAACAAAGAAATAGACTACCTAACAACAGGGATATAGACTACCTAACAACAGGGATATAGACTACCTAACAACAGAGAAATAGACTACCTAACAACAGGGATATAGACCACCTAACAACAGAGAAATAGACTACCTAACAACAGGGATATAGACTACCTAACAACAAGGATATAGGCTACCTAACAACAGGTATATAGACTACCTAACAACAGAGAAATAGACTACCTAACAACAGGGATATAGAATACCTAAAAACAGGGATATAGACTACCTAACAACAGGTATATAGAATACCTAACAACAGGGATATAGACTACCTAACCACAGGGATACAGACTACCTAGCAACAGGGATATAGACTACCTAACAACAGGGTTACAGACTACCTAACAACAAGGATATAGACTACCTAACCACAGGGATACAGACTACCTAGCAACAGGGATATAGACTACCTAGTAACAGGGATATAGACCACCTAGTAACAGGGATATAGACTACCTAGTAACAGGGATATAGGCTACCTAAAAACATATTGAATTGGAGACAAAAAAGGATCCAATAAAGCAGCAGACATGTCAATAAAATCTGAATTCTATCTCAAATGCGACGGAACAAACGACCAAAATATGAACAGAAGAAACATTTACACGGATATCCATGAAAAAAGTACCTGGCGAATAGAACAAGTTGTTCTGAAAGAGTAAGCTTCTTCTACTTCATCGACGACAACCATAATGTAACCCTTGGTCAATCCAAATACAAAAGTAAAATTACATTCCCAAATGAGAAGGTTAACGAAATGAATTATTTCCTGAAAAGATCAATATGTTTCAGTTGTCAATTTCTGACAACTTCCACGAAAAATCGTTATATCAGGGACAATCCTCAACAGTCATACCTACCTGAAACTTATCACCTGCGTCAGTGTGCCATTTATTGAACTTAGAACTGTGCTGTCCATCTACAAGAAAACGATACAAAGAGAGAAATAATAACACATTTATAAATAAATAGCAAATACCGCTTTCCACATAAATTCTTCAGAAACAGACGGACTGCATATGCAATGTCCTGTATCATTCCCTTAATCTCTTTGACTTTGCATGCACTTTTATCAAATACAGCTAATACCAATGTCATTACCTTAGAGTAGACGGTAACTTACCTTTATCTAATGAGCTAACTGTGATCATTAAAGTTAAGCACGATAAATACTTCCCGTGTGTCATCGTTGAAGCAGAAGACGCATATCCTTCCGGAACACATGACCTTAATCACCTTGTATTATTTCAACATTCTCGATGTAAATCGTTTGTGCTTGCCACGTTTCAATTCCTTTGAATAGTGGCACGATTCAGAAAATACACATGTACTTGATGCTTTTTCTAAAATTATCTGATGTTTGAAAATCATGAAATATATCTAATTATGGGGCTGCTTTACCTCCCCGTCTTGATATTGACTTTTGCTTTTGATCACTTTGGAGGAAACAGCTGTATGATGCAGTTTAATTATTTGGCTATACTATAACTTACTCTAAGTTGTGAAAAGGTGCTATTCACTTGTGTGTCTTTTGTACTACGTTTGCCCTAGTTTCACAGAATTTGATTCTGTTGACATGTCAGTATTTCCTTTTTTCTTCGGTTTTCAACGGACTGGGCAGTTCTGCCTTATGCATTCACATGTTTGAGTCATCTGACCTTGAAAGTGTGCTAATGTTCAAATGTTATATCAACATTTGACCTCATACAAAACAAAGACAACAAAATGATGTCCATAGAATCTTCAAACTCACAATTGATGAAACCAAGATAAAACTAACGCGAACACAAATTACCACGAAGACCCCCAAAAAAAGGTTCAAAGAAGATAGAACCAGGCGTTCGAGAAGGATAAACGTTTTCTGCTTTTTTGACGACAACCGGTAAATAATATTCCTCAAGGTTACCAACAACCAATATATCACTTTTGTACAAAAAAAAAAAAAAAAAAACCCTTGAAAGTGGGTCAAAGCTTGTCATTTTATTTCCTTTCAAGCATCTTTAACTTGTGTAAGTCACTATCGTCAAAAATAAAATCTTTCGAAAATGCGTACATACCAAGGCAGTATGAAGAGCATTTTGTCCGTAACATCATTGTGTATTCAAATATGTTTAAAACAATGACATGACAATGATTTATCATCACTATTGACTTTTAACAACGTAAATGTAAATTAGAAATCGGTCAAGATAAAAACAACGGTCGCTATTTGCCTGTTTCTATATTTGTCAGAATGTATTAATTTTATCCCGTTATTCATATATTTCTAGCATGTTGGAGATAAAGGGTGAGGATGGGACAGATAAATATCTACCCGAGGAGGAGAATCACGACTGTCTAATCCGAGGCGATGTCAAGCTTCAGGTTTGGATAGAGAACTTTTTACTCGCGGAGTTTCACGCTTTTCTAACCTGAGGCGAAGCCAAGCCTCCGGTTAGGACAGGGAACTCTCTCTACCTGAAGAAGAAATTATCTACTGTCTAACGTGAGACGAAGCCAAACCTCAGGTTAGGACAGGGAACTCCCTACCTGAAGAAGAAATTATCTACTGTCTAACCTGAGGCGAAGCTAAGCCTTCAGTTAGGACAGGGAACTGAAATTCACTACTGTAACCTGAGGCGAAGCTAAGCCTTCAGTTAGGACAGGGAACTCCCTACCTGAAGAAGAAATTCTCGACTGTCTAACCTGAGGCGAAGCTAAACCTTCAGTTAGGACAGGGAACTCTCTCTACCTGAAGAAGAAATTATCTACTGTCTAACCTGAGGCGAAGCTAAGCCTTCAGTTAGGACAGGGAACTCCCTACCTGAAGAAGAAATTCACTACTGTCTAACCTGAGGCGAAGCTAAGCCTTCAGTTAGGACAGGGAACTCTCTACGAGAAGCGGAAATACACTATTGTCAAACCTGAGGCGAAGCTAAGCCTTCAGTTAGGACAGGGAACTCCCTACCTGAAGAAGAAATTCTCGACTGTCTAACCTGAGGCGAAGCTAAACCTTCAGTTAGGACAGGGAACTCTCTCTACCTGAAGAAGAAATTATCTACTGTCTAACCTGAGGCGAAGCTAAGCCTTCAGTTAGGACAGGGAACTCCCTACCTGAAGCGGAAATTCTCTACTGTCTAACCTGAGGCGAAGCTAAGCCTTCAGTTAGGACAGGGAACTCTCTACCTGAAGCGGAAATTCACTATTGTCAAACCTGAGGCGAAGCTAAGCCTTCAGTTAGGACAGGGAACTCTCTACCTGAAGAAGAAATTACTACTGTCTAACCTGAAGAAGAAAAGCTAAGCCTGTTAGGACAGGGAACTCTCTACCTAGGACAGGGAACTCTCTACCTGAAGCGGAAATTCACTATTGCCAACCTGAGGCGAAGCTAAGCCTTCAGTTAGGACAGGGAACTCCCTACCTGAAGAAGAAATTCACTACTGTCTAACCTGAGGCGAAGCTAAGCCTTCAGTTAGGACAGGGAACTCTCTACCTGAAGCGGAAATTCACTACTGTCTAACCTGAGGCGAAGCTAAGCCTTCAGTTAGGACAGGGAACTCTCTACCTGAAGCGGAAATTCACTATTGTCAAACCTGAGGCGAAGCTAAGCCTTCAGTTAGGACAGGGAACTCTCTACCTGAAGAAGAAATTCACTACTGTCTAACCTGAGGCGAAGCTAAGCCTTCAGTTAGGACAGGGAACTCTCTACCTGAAGCGGAAATTCACTATTGTCAAACCTGAGGCGAAGCTAAGCCTTCAGTTAGGACAGGGAACTCCCTACCTGAAGAAGAAATTCTCGACTGTCTAACCTGAGGCGAAGCTAAGCCTTCAGTTAGGACAGGGAACTCTCTACCTGAAGCGGAAATTCTCTACTGTCTAACCTGAGGCGAAGCTAAGCCTTCAGTTAGGACAGGGAACTCCCTACCTGAAGCGGAAATTCACTATTGTCAAACCTGAGGCGAAGCTAAGCCTTCAGTTAGGACAGGGAACTCTCTACCTGAAGAAGAAATTATCTACTGTCTAACCTGAGGCGAAGCTAAGCCTTCAGTTAGGACAGGGAACTCTCTACCTGAAGCGGAAATTCACTATTGTCAAACCTGAGGCGAAGCTAAGCCTTCAGTTAGGACAGGGAACTCTCTACCTGAAGCGGAAATTCACTACTGTCTAACCTGAGGCGAAGCTAAGCCTTCAGTTACCTGAAGAAGAAATTCACTATTGTCTAACCTGAGGGAAGCTAAGCCTTCAGTTACCTGAAGCGGAAATTCACTATTGTCAAACCTGAGGCGAAGCTAAGCCTTCAGTTAGGACAGGGAACTCTCTACCTGAAGCGGAAATTCACTACTGTCTAACCTGAGGCGAAGCTAAACCTTCAGTTAGGACAGGGAACTCCCTACCTGAAGAAGAAATTCACTACTGTCTAACCTGAGGCGAAGCTAAGCCTTCAGTTAGGACAGGGAACTCTCTACCTGAAGCGGAAATACACTATTGTCAAACCTGAGGCGAAGCTAAGCCTTCAGTTAGGACAGGGAACTCCCTACCTGAAGAAGAAATTCTCGACTGTCTAACCTGAGGCGAAGCTAAGCCTTCAGTTAGGACAGGGAACTCTCTACCTGAAGCGGAAATTCACTACTGTCTAACCTGAGGCGAAGCTAAGCCTTCAGTTAGGACAGGGAACTCTCTACCTGAAGCGGAAATTCACTACTGTCTAACCTGAGGCGAAGCTAAGCCTCCAGTTAGGTCAGGGAACTCCCTACCTGAAGAGGAAATTCATGACTGTATAAGCCCAAGAAAAGCCAAGTCTCGGGTTAGACAGATGTGAATCTCCTCCTTGGGTTGAGAATTTACTGTACACCACACCTTGTTTTTAAATTTTTCTACTTACCGCATTAGAAAACTCTTCTGCCTTATCTCTAAACGTTTGACTGCTTGTGTTGAGTAACTCGGGATTAAATGTTTCATTTAATGACAGGCTTGCATTGTAGTTCACTATAAAAACAAGGAAATACCATCATATGAACATCACCATTATCCAAACTCGAATTTGATAAACCTAGGGAAAATATATGAACAAAAGAAAGATTTTCATGGAAACGCCTGAAGAAGTACAATAGTCTTTTTTCTACTTCATCGCCGACACCTAGGTGGGTATATACCATAAACGTTATCAATGAATTTCGTTATTTAAAGAGTTTTTGTGAGCTATTATGATAAGTTTTGATGAAATTAGCCTCGTATAAAACAAAAGTCAGCCAACAGTGGGACAGTTATTTCCCATATGAATACCAATTTGTTGGAGAAATACGGCGAATTTCAATGTAGATATTAGAAATGAACCGCTCTGGTTGGTCAAAACTACGAAAGTTATGTTTCCCTGGAAATGTTACATCATCAATAGAAAGGTTATTTTATATTATCAATTGAAAATTCACTTGCTTCAACGGAGAAAATTATGGGATTGTAAAAAATAAACTTTTCACTTTTTGTCATTTTTGACATTGACGTAAAGGAATTATTTAGCAAACAATTATAATGATGCAGAAGTATTTTCTCACAGGGATTCCGTCTTGGGATTTTGAGTAATGTATGACGTCACTTTATAAGCACTTTAAGTCCAGTAGTTATACACAGTATGAAACCTTATAGAAATGGGTAATTTAACCATCGATACCCAATTTTTAGAAGGTTTGAAAATGTTTATAAATACTGGATTTGTAGTTTTCTGGTAATGAACGTGTGTAAAAACATTCCAAAATTACTTACCAGCAACAGCTGAGACGTTAAGAGTTATCGGTAAACTACTTCCGGTCCCTAAACTATTGTTTGCATTACAGATGTAAACGGCGCTGTCGTCAAAACTAGCTTTGATAATGATGAGAGAAGCATCATTCAGGGTCACTCCACTGTAGTCGGATTCATCAACCAATATCGTTCTAAGTTCTGTCTCGTTGACTTTCATCTGCCAGTATACATCAACAGGCGGGGGGTTTCCAGTGACGTTACACGTCAAAGTCACATTGAATCCGAGATCCCCAGATACAAATGTATTAGGAATTGTAGCGATGGGAACACCTTTAAAAAGAAGCTATAATTTTAAGCGTTAAGCTTAGAAACAATAAAGAAAATAGCATGGTCTCAACAGAATCTTAACATTGACACTGCCCCCCCCCCCCCCCCCCCACCCACCCCCTGCAACTCACTGCAACCTTCAATGTGTTTTTGTAACACACAACCCTCCTCCCCCACTCCCCCAACCCCTGAACCCTACGCCTTCTCTGAAAAATTATTAAATGAGTTATTCCTTAAGATCCCTTTGCTTCACTTTTTAAACTATATCATATGCTTCAAAACAGGCATTCTCATCACCACAACCTCAATTGCTTTATCTTAAATAACCCGCGTCTTCTGTTTGTGGGTATCCATTCGCATTTTATCACAGGAGATATGGAGTCGTATGATATAACAAGGACCTTTTTATATAAATATAAAAAAGTCAAATAATTGTATTTACTATTAATCAAATAACTAAAAATCTCGCTTTTTAGTGGTAGTTACTCGCCTTCTATCTCAAGAGTGATGAGGTTGCTACTTCCAGTTCCAACACTGTTGTTGGCTTTACAGATATATACAGCACTGTCTGATATCGCTACGCTGATTATTCTTAGAGAAGGGTCACCTGGGGTCACGCCCGTGTAACGGACACCATCGACCACCAGTGTCTCGATCTCGCCCCCACTGACTATTCTCTGCCAGAACACATCAGTCACAACAGGCGTTCCGGTCACGTTACAGGCTAGCGTCACATTGTCACCAGCAATTGCTGTTATATTCCGGACAAGAACCGTCACTGTTGGAATATCTTTGAAAAAAAAAACAACATCTTTACAATATATGTTGTTGTATGTTATTATACATTTTCGAAATAACAAAACAAATACATTGACTCACTTCTCTTGATGAAGAAGCATTGTTTTTGTACAATCGCTTAATCTTTCTGAAAAACTAAATTCATTTCATTTTATTTCCTTCATTAAATGTGAAAAATCATGAAATTTATTGAATTTTGCAAGTTTAATGCACCTTCTCATCTGGTTTATGACGTTTCTTTTGACCACGGTGGACGAGTTAACTGTATGGTACGGTTGAATTCATTCTTTGACTATACAGTATTAAGTTCTTGTGTATGTGAATTATTTCAAACGTGCATCTTCTATGAGCAAATTAATAAAAACTATCTGAGCCCTATCCCACATGAAAAATAATTTTACTTGCAATAACCATTTAGTTAATTGGAGCAATCAGATACTTAAATACTTACCTGTCAGCGTAGAGGTTTCGGCGGAAGAAGTTGTTGTAGTTGTAGTTGTCGTAAGTTCTGGAGTAGAAGTTGTTGTACTGGTAGTTGTCGTAGGTTCTGGGGCAGTAGTTGTTGGAGTTGTAGCTGTCGCAGGTCCCTGGGTAGTAGTTGTTGTATTGGTAGTTGTCGTAGCTTCCGGGGTAGTAGATGTTCTAGCTGTAGTTGTCGTAGGTTCAGGGGTAGTAGTTTTTGGAGTTGTAGTTGTCGTAGGTTCTGGAGTAGTAGTTGTTGGAGTTATAGTTGTTGTAGGTTCTGGAGTAGTAGTTGTTGGAGTTGTAGTTGTTGTAGGTTCTGGAGTAGTAGTTGTTGGAGTTATAGTTGTTGTAGGTTCTGGATCCCCAGATACAAATGTATTAGGAATTGTAGCGATGGGAACACCTTTAAAAAGAAGCTATAATTTTAAGCGTTAAGCTTAGAAACAATAAAGAAAATAGCATGGTCTCAACAGAATCTTAACATTGACACTGCCCCCCCCCCCCACCCCCTGCAACTCACTACAACCTTCAATGTGTTTTTGTAACACACAACCCTCCTCCCCCACTCCCCCAACTCCTGAACCCTACGCCTTCTCTGAAAAATTATTAAATGAGTTTATTCCTTAAGATCCCTTTGCTTCACTTTTTAAACTATATCATATGCTTCAAAACAGGCATTCTCATCACCACAACCTCAATTGCTTTATCTTAAATAACCCGCGTCTTCTGTTTGTGGGTATCCATTCGCATTTTATCACAGGAGATATGGAGTCGTATGATATAACAAGGACCTTTTTATATAAATATAAAAAAGTCAAATAATTGTATTTACTATTAATCAAATAACTAAAAATCTCGCTTTTTAGTGGTAGTTACTCGCCTTCTATCTCAAGAGTGATGAGGTTGCTACTTCCAGTTCCAACACTGTTGTTGGCTTTACAGATATATACAGCACTGTCTGATATCGCTACGCTGATTATTCTTAGAGAAGGGTCACCTGGGGTCACGCCCGTGTAACGGACACCATCGACCACCAGTGTCTCGATCTCGCCCCCACTGACTATTCTCTGCCAGAACACATCAGTCACAATAGGCGTCCCGGTCACGTTACAGGCTAGCGTCACATTGTCACCAGCAATTGCTGTTATATTCCGGACAAGAACCGTCACTGTTGGAATATCTTTGAAAAAAAAAACAACATCTTTACAATATATGTTGTTGTATGTTATTATACATTTTCGAAATAACAAAACAAATACATTGACTCACTTCTCTTGATGAAGAAGCATTGTTTTTAAACAATCGCTTAATCTTTCTGAAAAACTAAATTCATTTCATTTTATTTCCTTCATTAAATGTGAAAAATCATGAAATTTATTGAATTTTGCAAGTTTAATGCACCTTCTCATCTGGTTTATGACGTTTCTTTTGACCACGGTGGACGAGTTAACTGTATGGTACGGTTGAATTCATTCTTTGACTATACAGTATTAAGTTCTTGTGTATGTGAATTATTTCAAACGTGCATCTTCTATGAGCAAATTAATAAAAACTATCTGAGCCCTATCCCACATGAAAAATAAGAAGCTATAATTTTAAGCGTTAAGCTTAGAAACAATAAAGAAAATAGCATGGTCTCAACAGAATCTTAACATTGACACTGCCCCCCACTCGTTGTAGAACCTCTATGTTTACAACAAGTTTCATTATCCTACCTTCATTTGGGACACAGCACAGTTTTAATGCAAAAGATGTGCTCTAGACAAAAAAAGTTAACAAAGGGTAATAACTCTGTAATTAAACAGTTGCGGATCTTGAATTTAGTACTGCTCACGGTCTTAGTATAATCAATGTATACATTAGGTTTTGTTTTCTTAGGTAAAGACATGAAAGGACAAATGGAAAGATGGACTATTTGCCCCCAAGAAAATTTGCAATGAGCAGAACAGACCTCAATACACATCTACATTGTACATATGGCTCATAATATTTCTGTATAGTTCCATTAAAATTATTTTCCAAATTCCATGGGCATTATATGGTTATCATGACAACTAAATGACATTAGGTCTTTTGGAAAATAGTAATTGCCATTCTAAAACATTAACATGATTGGACAATATTTTATTTTGACCAATCAGGATCCTTAATTGTTTTTCCATAGTAAAGGCTTTGGAAACTTACACTTTTATAAATCATTACATTTGACCAGTTTTCATTAAATTTTATCTAAGTACTGTCAAGTTATGAACCATTATTATTTACACTAATACCTTTGTATATCGACCTGTTGTCAAATCCCCTTGTTTGTAAACTTTTGTTTGTAAATAATAAAATTGACTTAAATTGACAATTGTTACGATTTGTATAATGGGAACAGTTATTGACTTACTTTTTACTACAGCAGCATACGTGGCAAAAAACCCTTGGTAGACGATTGAATAATCACTTGTAAAATGTAGCAACATTACACTGCCTGTGGATGATACAGGATGAGGAAGACTATGTCCGGACAAACTGAAAACAAAAATAAGAAGAGTCAGTAAACATTGAGATGCTGAAAGCATTTTGGAGACATTGTATTCCATGCGAGACCAGTGGATCAGACTTCTATTCTGAATGTTGAATGTTGTGTGTCATAGTGTGCTTTATTCACATTCTAAATGTTGAATGTTGCGTTTCTTGGTGTGCTATATTCAAATTCTGAATGTTGAATGTTGTGTATTGTGATATGCTATATCAAAATTCTGAATGTTGAGTGTTGTGTGTCTTGGTGCAAAATGGTGAATGTTGAATATTATCACAGCTGTCACAATGATATTTCACCATTGGGTATGTTCATGAGTAAGGTTACAACAGAAGGGGGTCACAATAATGGATTTAGGTAATATTAGAGGGTCAGTTTACACCAGTGGGGTTCATAATAGTGGATTAGGGTAACATTAAAGGGTTATGTTACAACAGAGGGGGTTACAATATTGGATTCGGATAATATTAGAGGGTGAGTTTACAACATAGGGGGTTACAATGGCGGATTGCGATAATATTAGAGGGTAAGGTAACAACAGTTTATTACAAAGAATTATCAAGTTATTTTTGTATAAATTGGTTATGTAGCTCCCCTCTATAACTGTATTCAGTAGCTTCCACACTTTTCAGTTTACCTTGAAATCAGTGGTGCAGACGTATTATATCCATCATATATCCTCAGCTTATCGAAGCCATTTTCAACTTTAAAAACCATGAAAGTTACAGTTATGTAATATCCAGGATCTACTTCTTTAATCCACAGAACATTGTCATGGTTGTTGTAGTTTTGTGGAAAGTTAGGACTGTATATAGTCCTTGGAGTGTCTGAAATAAGATCAAAAGTTCAAATTAAGAACTGATCAATGAATACAAATGTATTCAATGAATACAGAAGCAAAAAAAAATTCTGAATCATAGATAAATCCACTTCTGTTTTGCAGAATTCCTTATTTTAACAATATGAATAAACATCAAAGTTTCAAAATCATTTCATGGAAAACAATTTTTAATCATCAAGAAAAAGAGTCCTTCCATAATTCAACAAGATGGACAACATGCCTATGTAACTCATCTGGTTTTAATAGATACAACAACAAACAACACCAACATGTCAACAGAATCTCCAGTTCGACGAAACAAAATCAAAACAGAGTAGAATAGACAAGGCGCACTGTAAAGGGTAACACTGTCTTCTCTTTTATTGAAGAAACTTGCTACGTAAAGCTTGGTCAATCGATGTGAATAACATCCTGTTCCCAAAATAGAACAATGTAAACGACAATGGAACCACGTGCCAACAAGCCTTCAACACGTTAAACGTCATAGCATACAAAGAAATATAATAGGTTCGATCACTATGATGACCATTAACCTTCCCTATAATCTACACCTACCTACATCTTTCAAAATCCTATGTGTGAATCCGATAGCTGTCGTTATCTTACTCGAAAATAGTACTAGTACTATGAATTATTTCAATTTTGAGGCAAAAATATTTCATTTTTATTTAATTTAATCAGTCTCTAACATGGTTGGAAATTATCTTTAAACTAACATCTTTAAGACACTTCCTTACAAGTGAACGGCTACCAAAGTACTTTTAACAGAAGCCATTTCGTAAAGCAGTGACAGTCTGCTGTCTGTGAAACCATGCGTGTATGAGCGAAAATCGGCCTTGGCACTGTGCTGTGGACCTTAACCAGCCTATAGAATGATGTCTGAATGGGTCTCTGTTTGCTTAGAATGTTTATACATTCTTGACATCATATAATTTTGAGACATCCGCAGTCTGACGTTAGAATAGGCCAGCTGGCAACATTATGGTACCCCTACTCACTTCTACAGCATTGAAGCATCTTATGCCATATCAGTAAAAGAAATCAAATCGATTCAAGTTAGCACAAAGTCTTACTTAACAAAGCTTAACTTTTGAAAGAAATGTACACCTGAAATGCGTAAACCCGTGACCGCTAATAAGGCATAAATGTTCACCGAAATTAGAAAAGAAGGAATAATATCTCCTTACTAATTTATTGGGTTTTTTTTTTTTTTTTTTTTTTTTTTGTTTTTTGGTTTTTTTTTTTTTTTTTTTTTGGTTTTTTTTTTTTTTTTTTTTTTTTTTTTTTTTTTTTTTTTTTTTTTTTTTTTTTTTTTTGTTTTTTTTTTTTTTTTTTTTGTTTTTTTTGTTTGTTTTTTGTTTTTTTGTTTTTGTTTTTATTTGGTTTTTTTTGTGTTTTAATATAGATAATTTTTAGCAAATTGTGAGGAATATGTACTGAATAGTTGGTATCTTTCACAGGTCAAAGTTTTGGCTTTTTTTTTTTAAATGATCAAAATGATTTCACGATTTGGGATTTCTAAAAATTAAAATCCATACCAGTCTCATTATTAAATTTTCGCGATCACATCACGTACCACGAAAAAGTGAATATATATCTATACCTCGGGAAATAATCAGTTATACAGGATATGCATGTAGTTATGATAATTTCTATTAATTTACATGATTTTTTAACACATTCCTGTAAATAAAATCAAATTTTTACTAAAACTTTTACTGTCGTACCAGACTGAACCCTTACATATTGTTAAGGAGCCAAAAAAAAAAAAAAAAAATAAAGAGGGTCCACTCCAAAACAATATAAATCTTTCGGAGAACGGTATCAATTGTTTTGAATGAATGAACGATCATGGGTCCATTTTGTGCAAGAATTATGATGATGATAAGGATGATAATGATGTACGTGCATTATAATGTTAGAACTGATATGATTTTTATGATTTCCATGTTTGAATACGAAGATGATTGATAATGGACTTTGCATATTTATTATATATATGTATATATATATATATAAAAAATGTACGAAAAAGACTTCTCAATGCTTTTTTGGGGAAAATGACAACTTGGGTAAAACTTAGACACAATGAACTCACTAGAACCTGCTTTTCAGAATATGAAGTTCAATAATTAAGATAATTATCATTTTTTTATCAAAACAATTGTTTCTGTATTAGCGAAGTATTTCCTAAGTGTTTGAGCTTATTTCTTTCTGTAAACATAAAATGCAATAATGTTACAAACAATCATAAAGTTATTGAATATCAACAGACAAAATCAAGTACGGTCGAAATAGAGGAATTTAGACTTTCCTATTTGTTTTTATATTTTCAGCCGTTAATTCTTTTAAAAGAGGAAGACAGCATTGATTAGATTCACTCTGAAATTGAATCCATTTTAGTATGTTCACATTTCACGTTTATTAACAGCTGATAAGAGATTTGTAAATTGAGAATTATCATTTCATTTAACGGAAGTAATATCATGATATTTTGATTATTGTTCGAACAAAATTGTAACTTTTGCACAATATTAAGCTCATCAGTAAAGCACTGCATTCAGATGGATCAAAGTTGCTTAGTGAGACTACACAATAACATGTTGAGTAGAATATCTTGTTATATATCACTGATATGCTGAGACATGAAACCTGTCTGAAATGATTATTAATTTTACCTATTCAGTCGGCCCAGAGACAGGCACTGATGAGTGAGACTTAGGTTAAAGCGATAAATCAAACCCCTTTACCAAAGATGTATTAGAATCAATAAGATATTGATTTAGAGGTTATCAACATTTCAAAGAAAAATTATAAAGCGAGGATGGATGAACGGACAACCAAAATAGTACAATAGCATCAAACGTTTGGATGACTGAGATGAGCTAAAAATAACTATAAACAAAAACTACTTTTTTTCAAATGTGGAAGGTAGATTATTGTTAAAAGTGATTAATACAATTATAGAACAGCAAGGTACCTGTAATTGCAGTGTATGCCATGTTAAACCCAATATCTGTGAACAAGTGGTTACTGTAAAATACCAATTTCACGAAGCGAGCACTGGATTGATTGGATATGGTAATATACTTCCGGACAAGCTGGAAACCATTAAATACATTACAATGCTACTATGATGAATTATGGCTGTGTTTCATGCACACAATTTTGAATTGCAAACCCATCGAATAAGACACATTGTGTGGCAGGACCACGTGCGTTTTCCCTGCGTACTGCGATTTTCTTCCCCAAGAACACCCCACGTGTTTTCCAATTCGTGTCAATAAGGGTGGTTAATATTATTTGATTATTTAATATTTTGTAGAATGTATATAAAATGATTAATAAACAAATAGCCTGTGTTATGTACATGGATCTATCAAATGTATGAACAATTCATGTACGGACATCTGACGAATAGGCAGCTAATACAAATAATGTATGGATGAATGATTTTCGGGGGAGAATGTCACTCATATTCGAAAACATATCAAAGACTGAAACACAACAAAAAAGTACAATAATGTGAGTTCCAAGTGATCTATGAATATGGTATTACTATTAAACGCATTAATAAAAAGTTAATTAACTCCATTAGTTAGATTCCCACACATTTTGCTCTTTTGTACATTATTACCAGGGTTTTGCTGGCTGTTTGATTGATAAAAAGCTTTCCATGCAATACTACATTTTATTTTACTATACTACCTTTTTCTGTCAAATTAACAATTTTTTGACTTATGTAATACTTAATAGTACTTTTTACGATTCCTTGGACAGATTCTAAAATTATCGATGATATGATTGTTGGAGTGTTTGACTGATTTCTGATGGTCTGCAGAGAATCTGCAATCACGGTCCAGATTATACTCTCATCCAGCACAACTGTAGTATTACTTCTCGTTAACAAATTACTGGTGAACCAGATGACAAAATCGACAATCGTGCTGCTTCCATTACTGAAATATAAAAAATAACATTTCAATTCCATAAACGGTAGAATATAAGCAAGATAACGGAATACAAGATAACAATGAAAAAAGTCACAGTCAGCATTTTTTTTCAAAATTTATGAAAGGACGGAAATACATCAGCAACAGACAGGAATAAATGGTAAACCTTAAAACGTACGATGAAAATCAGACCATTTCTTTTGGAAGGGTACTTCATATCAACATAACGTCAAGTTCAGCCTATATTCAGTGTGTCGACTTAGGTTCCATCGCAATATACAGGCTACTTATTGTATTGTTAGAGGCTACCTAGCAACATGGACAAAGACTAACTAGCACCACATGGATATAAACTACCTAGCAACATATTGATATAGACTACCTAACAACAAAGAAATAGACTACCTAACAACAGGGATATAGACTACCTAACAACAGGGATATAGACTACCTAACAACAGAGAAATAGACTACCTAACAACAGGGATATAGACCACCTAACAACAGAGAAATAGACTACCTAACAACAGGGATATAGACTACCTAACAACAAGGATATAGGCTACCTAACAACAGGTATATTGACTACCTAACAACAGAGAAATAGACTACCTAACAGCAGGGATATAGAATACCTAAAAACAGGGATATAGACTACCTAACAACAGGTATATAGAATACCTAACAACAGGGATATAGACTACCTAACCACAGGGATACAGACTACCTAGCAACAGGGATATAGACTACCTAACAACAGGGTTACAGACTACCTAACAACAAGGATATAGACTACCTAACCACAGGGATACAGACTACCTAGCAACAGGGATATAGACTACCTAGTAACAGGGATATAGACCACCTAGTAACAGGGATATAGACTACCTAGTAACAGGGATATAGGCTACCTAAAAACATATTGAATTGGAGACAAAAAAGGATCCAATAAAGCAGCAGACATGTCAATAAAATCTGAATTCTATCTCAAATGCGACGGAACAAACGACCAAAATATGAACAGAAGAAACATTTACACGGATATCCATGAAAAAAGTACCTGGCGAATAGAACAAGTTGTTCTGAAAGAGTAAGCTTCTTCTACTTCATCGACAACCATAATGTAACCCTTGGTCAATCCAAATACAAAAGTAAAATTACATTCCCAAATGAGAAGGTTAACGAAATGAATTATTTCCTGAAAAGATCAATATGTTTCAGTTGTCAATTTCTGACAACTTCCACGAAAAATCGTTATATCAGGGACAATCCTCAACAGTCATACCTACCTGAAACTTATCACCTGCGTCAGTGTGCCATTTATTGAACTTAGAACTGTGCTGTCCATCTACAAGAAAACGATACAAAGAGAGAAATAATAACACATTTATAAATAAATAGCAAATACCGCTTTCCACATAAATTCTTCAGAAACAGACGGACTGCATATGCAATGTCCTGTATCATTCCCTTAATCTCTTTGACTTTGCATGCACTTTTATCAAATACAGCTAATACCAATGTCATTACCTTAGAGTAGACGGTAACTTACCTTTATCTAATGAGCTAACTGTGATCATTAAAGTTAAGCACGATAAATACTTCCCGTGTGTCATCGTTGAAGCAGAAGACGCATATCCTTCCGGAACACATGACCTTAATCACCTTGTATTATTTCAACATTCTCGATGTAAATCGTTTGTGCTTGCCACGTTTCAATTCCTTTGAATAGTGGCACGATTCAGAAAATACACATGTACTTGATGCTTTTTCTAAAATTATCTGATGTTTGAAAATCATGAAATATATCTAATTATGGGGCTGCTTTACCTCCCCGTCTTGATATTGACTTTTGCTTTTGATCACTTTGGAGGAAACAGCTGTATGATGCAGTTTAATTATTTGGCTATACTATAACTTACTCTAAGTTGTGAAAAGGTGCTATTCACTTGTGTGTCTTTTGTACTACGTTTGCCCTAGTTTCACAGAATTTGATTCTGTTGACATGTCAGTATTTCCTTTTTTCTTCGGTTTTCAACGGACTGGGCAGTTCTGCCTTATGCATTCACATGTTTGAGTCATCTGACCTTGAAAGTGTGCTAATGTTCAAATGTTATATCAACATTTGACCTCATACAAAACAAAGACAACAAAATGATGTCCATAGAATCTTCAAACTCACAATTGATGAAACCAAGATAAAACTAACGCGAACACAAATTACCACGAAGACCCCCAAAAAAAGGTTCAAAGAAGATAGAACCAGGCGTTCGAGAAGGATAAACGTTTTCTGCTTTTTTGACGACAACCGGTAAATAATATTCCTCAAGGTTACCAACAACCAATATATCACTTTTGTACAAAAAAAAAAAAAAAACCTTGAAAGTGGGTCAAAGCTTGTCATTTTATTTCCTTTCAAGCATCTTTAACTTGTGTAAGTCACTATCGTCAAAAATAAAATCTTTCGAAAATGCGTACATACCAAGGCAGTATGAAGAGCATTTTGTCCGTAACATCATTGTGTATTCAAATATGTTTAAAACAATGACATGACAATGATTTATCATCACTATTGACTTTTAACAACGTAAATGTAAATTAGAAATCGGTCAAGATAAAAACAACGGTCGCTATTTGCCTGTTTCTATATTTGTCAGAATGTATTAATTTTATCCCGTTATTCATATATTTCTAGCATGTTGGAGATAAAGGGTGAGGATGGGACAGATAAATATCTACCCGAGGAGGAGAATCACGACTGTCTAATCCGAGGCGATGTCAAGCTTCAGGTTTGGATAGAGAACTTTTTACTCGCGGAGTTTCACGCTTTTCTAACCTGAGGCGAAGCCAAGCCTCCGGTTAGGACAGGGAACTCTCTCTACCTGAAGAAGAAATTATCTACTGTCTAACGTGAGACGAAGCCAAACCTCAGGTTAGGACAGGTTGAAGAAGAAAATTATCTAACCTGGGAACTAAGCCTTCAGTTAGGACAGGGAACTCTGAAGAAGAAATTATCTACTGTCTAACCTGAGGCGAAGCTAAGCCTTCAGTTAGGACAGGGAACTCCCTACCTGAAGAAGAAATTCACTACTGTCTAACCTGAGGCGAAGCTAAGCCTTCAGTTAGGACAGGGAACTCCCTACCTGAAGAAGAAATTATCTACTGTCTAACCTGAGGCGAAGCTAAGCCTTCAGTTAGGACAGGGAACTCCCTACCTGAAGAAGAAATTCACTACTGTCTAACCTGAGGCGAAGCTAAGCCTTCAGTTAGGACAGGGAACTCTCTACCTGAAGCGGAAATTCACTATTGTCAAACCTGAGGCGAAGCTAAGCCTTCAGTTAGGACAGGGATTCTCGACTGTCTAACCTACGAAGAAGCGGAAATGAAAAGTCAAACCACTCTACTGTCTAACCTGAGGCGAAGCTAAGCCTTCAGTTAGGACAGGGACTGAGGCGAAGAAGCGGAAAACTATTGTCAAACCTGAGGCGAAGCTAAGCCTTGCAGTTAGGACAGGGAACTCTCTACCTGAAGAAGAAATTATCTACTGTCTAACCTGAGGCGAAGCTAAGCCTTCAGTTAGGACAGGGAACTCTCTACCTGAAGCGGAAATTCACTATTGTCAAACCTGAGGCGAAGCTAAGCCTTCAGTTAGGACAGGGAACTCCCTACCTGAAGAAGAAATTCTCGACTGTCTAACCTGAGGCGAAGCTAAGCCTTCAGTTAGGGACACCTGGGAACTCTCTACCTGAAGCGAAGAAATTCACTCCCCTCACCTGAGGCGAAGCTAAGCCTTCAGTTAGGACAGGGAACTCTCTACCTGAAGCGGAAATTCACTACTGTCTAACCTGAGGCGAAGCTAAACCTTCAGTTAGGACAGGGAACTCTCTACCTGAAGAAGAAATTCACTACTGTCTAACCTGAGGCGAAGCTAAGCCTTCAGTTAGGACAGGGAACTCTCTACCTGAAGCGGAAATACACTATTGTCAAACCTGAGGCGAAGCTAAGCCTTCAGTTAGGACAGGGAACTCCCTACCTGAAGAAGAAATTCACTAACTGTCTAACCTGTCTAACCTGAGGCGAAGCTAAGCCTTCTCTCTACCTGAAGCGGAAATTCACTATTGTCAAACCTGAGGCGAAGCTAAGCCTTCAGTTAGGAAATTCACTACTGTCTAACCTGAGGCGAAGCTAAGCCTCCAGTTAGGTCAGGGAACTCCCTACCTGAAGAAGAAATTCATGACTGTATAAGCCCAAGAAAAGCCAAGTCTCGGGTTAGACAGATGTGAATCTCCTCCTTGGGTTGAGAATTTACTGTACACCACACCTTGTTTTTAAATTTTTCTACTTACCGCATTAGAAAACTCTTCTGCCTTATCTCTAAACGTTTGACTGCTTGTGTTGAGTAACTCGGGATTAAATGTTTCATTTAATGACAGGCTTGCATTGTAGTTCACTATAAAAACAAGGAAATACCATCATATGAACATCACCATTATCCAAACTCGAATTTGATAAACCTAGGGAAAATATATGAACAAAAGAAAGATTTTCATGGAAACGCCTGAAGAAGTACAATAGTCTTTTTTCTACTTCATCGCCGACACCTAGGTGGGTATATACCATAAACGTTATCAATGAATTTCGTTATTTAAAGAGTTTTTGTGAGCTATTATGATAAGTTTTGATGAAATTAGCCTCGTATAAAACAAAAGTCAGCCAACAGTGGGACAGTTATTTCCCATATGAATACCAATTTGTTGGAGAAATACGGCGAATTTCAATGTAGATATTAGAAATGAACCGCTCTGGTTGGTCAAAACTACGAAAGTTATGTTTCCCTGGAAATGTTACATCATCAATAGAAAGGTTATTTTATATTATCAATTGAAAATTCACTTGCTTCAACGGAGAAAATTATGGGATTGTAAAAAATAAACTTTTCACTTTTTGTCATTTTTGACATTGACGTAAAGGAATTATTTAGCAAACAATTATAATGATGCAGAAGTATTTTCTCACAGGGATTCCGTCTTGGGATTTTGAGTAATGTATGACGTCACTTTATAAGCACTTTAAGTCCAGTAGTTATACACAGTATGAAACCTTATAGAAATGGGTAATTTAACCATCGATACCCAATTTTTAGAAGGTTTGAAAATGTTTATAAATACTGGATTTGTAGTTTTCTGGTAATGAACGTGTGTAAAAACATTCCAAAATTACTTACCAGCAACAGCTGAGACGTTAAGAGTTATCGGTAAACTACTTCCGGTCCCTAAACTATTGTTTGCATTACAGATGTAAACGGCGCTGTCGTCAAAACTAGCTTTGATAATGATGAGAGAAGCATCATTCAGGGTCACTCCACTGTAGTCGGATTCATCAACCAATATCGTTCTAAGTTCTGTCTCGTTGACTTTCATCTGCCAGTATACATCAACAGGCGGGGGGTTTCCAGTGACGTTACACGTCAAAGTCACATTGAATCCGAGATCCCCAGATACAAATGTATTAGGAATTGTAGCGATGGGAACACCTTTAAAAAGAAGCTATAATTTTAAGCGTTAAGCTTAGAAACAATAAAGAAAATAGCATGGTCTCAACAGAATCTTAACATTGACACTGCCCCCCCCCCCACCCACCCCCTGCAACTCACTGCAACCTTCAATGTGTTTTTGTAACACACAACCCTCCTCCCCCACTCCCCCAACCCCTGAACCCTACGCCTTCTCTGAAAAATTATTAAATGAGTTATTCCTTAAGATCCCTTTGCTTCACTTTTTAAACTATATCATATGCTTCAAAACAGGCATTCTCATCACCACAACCTCAATTGCTTTATCTTAAATAACCCGCGTCTTCTGTTTGTGGGTATCCATTCGCATTTTATCACAGGAGATATGGAGTCGTATGATATAACAAGGACCTTTTTATATAAATATAAAAAAGTCAAATAATTGTATTTACTATTAATCAAATAACTAAAAATCTCGCTTTTTAGTGGTAGTTACTCGCCTTCTATCTCAAGAGTGATGAGGTTGCTACTTCCAGTTCCAACACTGTTGTTGGCTTTACAGATATATACAGCACTGTCTGATATCGCTACGCTGATTATTCTTAGAGAAGGGTCACCTGGGGTCACGCCCGTGTAACGGACACCATCGACCACCAGTGTCTCGATCTCGCCCCCACTGACTATTCTCTGCCAGAACACATCAGTCACAATAGGCGTTCCGGTCACGTTACAGGCTAGCGTCACATTGTCACCAGCAATTGCTGTTATATTCCGGACAAGAACCGTCACTGTTGGAATATCTTTGAAAAAAAAAACAACATCTTTACAATATATGTTGTTGTATGTTATTATACATTTTCGAAATAACAAAACAAATACATTGACTCACTTCTCTTGATGAATAAGCATTGTTTTTGTACAATCGCTTAATCTTTCTGAAAAACTAAATTCATTTCATTTTATTTCCTTCATTAAATGTGAAAAATCATGAAATTTATTGAATTTTGCAAGTTTAATGCACCTTCTCATCTGGTTTATGACGTTTCTTTTGACCACGGTGGACGAGTTAACTGTATGGTACGGTTGAATTCATTCTTTGACTATACAGTATTAAGTTCTTGTGTATGTGAATTATTTCAAACGTGCATCTTCTATGAGCAAATTAATAAAAACTATCTGAGCCCTATCCCACATGAAAAATAATTTTACTTGCAATAACCATTTAGTTAATTGGAGCAATCAGATACTTAAATACTTACCTGTCAGCGTAGAGGTTTCGGCGGAAGAAGTTGTTGTAGTTGTAGTTGTCGTAAGTTCTGGAGTAGAAGTTGTTGTACTGGTAGTTGTCGTAGGTTCTGGGGCAGTAGTTGTTGGAGTTGTAGCTGTCGCAGGTCCCTGGGTAGTAGTTGTTGTATTGGTAGTTGTCGTAGCTTCCGGGGTAGTAGATGTTCTAGCTGTAGTTGTCGTAGGTTCAGGGGTAGTAGTTTTTGGAGTTGTAGTTGTCGTAGGTTCTGGAGTAGTAGTTGTTGGAGTTATAGTTGTTGTAGGTTCTGGAGTAGTAGTTGTTGGAGTTGTAGTTGTTGTAGGTTCTGGAGTAGTAGTTGTTGGAGTTATAGTTGTTGTAGGTTCTGGATCCCCAGATACAAATGTATTAGGAATTGTAGCGATGGGAACACCTTTAAAAAGAAGCTATAATTTTAAGCGTTAAGCTTAGAAACAATAAAGAAAATAGCATGGTCTCAACAGAATCTTAACATTGACACTGCCCCCCCCCCCCCCCCCCCCCACCCCCTGCAACTCACTGCAACCTTCAATGTGTTTTTGTAACACACAACCCTCCTCCCCCACTCCCCCAACCCCTGAACCCTACGCCTTCTCTGAAAAATTATTAAATGAGTTATTCCTTAAGATCCCTTTGCTTCACTTTTTAAACTATATCATATGCTTCAAAACAGGCATTCTCATCACCACAACCTCAATTGCTTTATCTTAAATAACCCGCGTCTTCTGTTTGTGGGTATCCATTCGCATTTTATCACAGGAGATATGGAGTCGTATGATATAACAAGGACCTTTTTATATAAATATAAAAAAGTCAAATAATTGTATTTACTATTAATCAAATAACTAAAAATCTCGCTTTTTAGTGGTAGTTACTCGCCTTCTATCTCAAGAGTGATGAGGTTGCTACTTCCAGTTCCAACACTGTTGTTGGCTTTACAGATATATACAGCACTGTCTGATATCGCTACGCTGATTATTCTTAGAGAAGGGTCACCTGGGGTCACGCCCGTGTAACGGACACCATCGACCACCAGTGTCTCGATCTCGCCCCCACTGACTATTCTCTGCCAGAACACATCAGTCACAATAGGCGTCCCGGTCACGTTACAGGCTAGCGTCACATTGTCACCAGCAATTGCTGTTATATTCCGGACAAGAACCGTCACTGTTGGAATATCTTTGAAAAAAAAAACAACATCTTTACAATATATGTTGTTGTATGTTATTATACATTTTCGAAATAACAAAACAAATACATTGACTCACTTCTCTTGATGAAGAAGCATTGTTTTTAAACAATCGCTTAATCTTTCTGAAAAACTAAATTCATTTCATTTTATTTCCTTCATTAAATGTGAAAAATCATGAAATTTATTGAATTTTGCAAGTTTAATGCACCTTCTCATCTGGTTTATGACGTTTCTTTTGACCACGGTGGACGAGTTAACTGTATGGTACGGTTGAATTCATTCTTTGACTATACAGTATTAAGTTCTTGTGTATGTGAATTATTTCAAACGTGCATCTTCTATGAGCAAATTAATAAAAACTATCTGAGCCCTATCCCACATGAAAAATAAGAAGCTATAATTTTAAGCGTTAAGCTTAGAAACAATAAAGAAAATAGCATGGTCTCAACAGAATCTTAACATTGACACTGCCCCCCACTCGTTGTAGAACCTCTATGTTTACAACAAGTTTCATTATCCTACCTTCATTTGGGACACAGCACAGTTTTAATGCAAAAGATGTGCTCTAGACAAAAAAAGTTAACAAAGGGTAATAACTCTGTAATTAAACAGTTGCGGATCTTGAATTTAGTACTGCTCACGGTCTTAGTATAATCAATGTATACATTAGGTTTTGTTTTCTTAGGTAAAGACATGAAAGGACAAATGGAAAGATGGACTATTTGCCCCCAAGAAAATTTGCAATGAGCAGAACAGACCTCAATACACATCTACATTGTACATATGGCTCATAATATTTCTGTATAGTTCCATTAAAATTATTTTCCAAATTCCATGGGCATTATATGGTTATCATGACAACTAAATGACATTAGGTCTTTTGGAAAATAGTAATTGCCATTCTAAAACATTAACATGATTGGACAATATTTTATTTTGACCAATCAGGATCCTTAATTGTTTTTCCATAGTAAAGGCTTTGGAAACTTACACTTTTATAAATCATTACATTTGACCAGTTTTCATTAAATTTTATCTAAGTACTGTCAAGTTATGAACCATTATTATTTACACTAATACCTTTGTATATCGACCTGTTGTCAAATCCCCTTGTTTGTAAACTTTTGTTTGTAAATAATAAAATTGACTTAAATTGACAATTGTTACGATTTGTATAATGGGAACAGTTATTGACTTACTTTTTACTACAGCAGCATACGTGGCAAAAAACCCTTGGTAGACGATTGAATAATCACTTGTAAAATGTAGCAACATTACACTGCCTGTGGATGATACAGGATGAGGAAGACTATGTCCGGACAAACTGAAAACAAAAATAAGAAGAGTCAGTAAACATTGAGATGCTGAAAGCATTTTGGAGACATTGTATTCCATGCGAGACCAGTGGATCAGACTTCTATTCTGAATGTTGAATGTTGTGTGTCATAGTGTGCTTTATTCACATTCTAAATGTTGAATGTTGCGTTTCTTGGTGTGCTATATTCAAATTCTGAATGTTGAATGTTGTGTATTGTGATATGCTATATCAAAATTCTGAATGTTGAGTGTTGTGTGTCTTGGTGCAAAATGGTGAATGTTGAATATTATCACAGCTGTCACAATGATATTTCACCATTGGGTATGTTCATGAGTAAGGTTACAACAGAAGGGGGTCACAATAATGGATTTAGGTAATATTAGAGGGTCAGTTTACACCAGTGGGGTTCATAATAGTGGATTAGGGTAACATTAAAGGGTTATGTTACAACAGAGGGGGTTACAATATTGGATTCGGATAATATTAGAGGGTGAGTTTACAACATAGGGGGTTACAATGGTGGATTGCGATAATATTAGAGGGTAAGGTAACAACAGTTTATTACAAAGAATTATCAAGTTATTTTTGTATAAATTGGTTATGTAGCTCCCCTCTATAACTGTATTCAGTAGCTTCCACACTTTTCAGTTTACCTTGAAATCAGTGGTGCAGACGTATTATATCCATCATATATCCTCAGCTTATCGAAGCCATTTTCAACTTTAAAAACCATGAAAGTTACAGTTATGTAATATCCAGGATCTACTTCTTTAATCCACAGAACATTGTCATGGTTGTTGTAGTTTTGTGGAAAGTTAGGACTGTATATAGTCCTTGGAGTGTCTGAAATAAGATCAAAAGTTCAAATTAAGAACTGATCAATGAATACAAATGTATTCAATGAATACAGAAGCAAAAAAAAATTCTGAATCATAGATAAATCCACTTCTGTTTTGCAGAATTCCTTATTTTAACAATATGAATAAACATCAAAGTTTCAAAATCATTTCATGGAAAACAATTTTTAATCATCAAGAAAAAGAGTCCTTCCATAATTCAACAAGATGGACAACATGCCTATGTAACTCATCTGGTTTTAATAGATACAACAACAAACAACACCAACATGTCAACAGAATCTCCAGTTCGACGAAACAAAATCAAAACAGAGTAGAATAGACAAGGCGCACTGTAAAGGGTAACACTGTCTTCTCTTTTATTGAAGAAACTTGCTACGTAAAGCTTGGTCAATCGATGTGAATAACATCCTGTTCCCAAAATAGAACAATGTAAACGACAATGGAACCACGTGCCAACAAGCCTTCAACACGTTAAACGTCATAGCATACAAAGAAATATAATAGGTTCGATCACTATGATGACCATTAACCTTCCCTATAATCTACACCTACCTACATCTTTCAAAATCCTATGTGTGAATCCGATAGCTGTCGTTATCTTACTCGAAAATAGTACTAGTACTATGAATTATTTCAATTTTGAGGCAAAAATATTTCATTTTTATTTAATTTAATCAGTCTCTAACATGGTTGGAAATTATCTTTAAACTAACATCTTTAAGACACTTCCTTACAAGTGAACGGCTACCAAAGTACTTTTAACAGAAGCCATTTCGTAAAGCAGTGACAGTCTGCTGTCTGTGAAACCATGCGTGTATGAGCGAAAATCGGCCTTGGCACTGTGCTGTGGACCTTAACCAGCCTATAGAATGATGTCTGAATGGGTCTCTGTTTGCTTAGAATGTTTATACATTCTTGACATCATATAATTTTGAGACATCCGCAGTCTGACGTTAGAATAGGCCAGCTGGCAACATTATGGTACCCCTACTCACTTCTACAGCATTGAAGCATCTTATGCCATATCAGTAAAAGAAATCAAATCGATTCAAGGGGTTTTTTTTTTTTTTTTTTTTTTTTTTTTTTTTTTTTTTTTTTTGTTTTTTTTTTTGTTTTTTTTTTTGTTTTTTGTTTTTTTGTTTTTGTTTTTATTTGGTTTTTTTTTGTGTTTTAATATAGATAATTTTTAGCAAATTGTGAGGAATATGTACTGAATAGTTGGTATCTTTCACAGGTCAAAGTTTTGGCTTTTTTTTTTTAAATGATCAAAATGATTTCACGATTTGGGATTTCTAAAAATTAAAATCCATACCAGTCTCATTATTAAATTTTCGCGATCACATCACGTACCACGAAAAAGTGAATATATATCTATACCTCGGGAAATAATCAGTTATACAGGATATGCATGTAGTTATGATAATTTCTATTAATTTACATGATTTTTTAACACATTCCTGTAAATAAAATCAAATTTTTACTAAAACTTTTACTGTCGTACCAGACTGAACCCTTACATATTGTTAAGGAGCCAAAAAAAAAAAAATAAAGAGGGTCCACTCCAAAACAATATAAATCTTTCGGAGAACGGTATCAATTGTTTTGAATGAATGAACGATCATGGGTCCATTTTGTGCAAGAATTATGATGATGATAAGGATGATAATGATGTACGTGCATTATAATGTTAGAACTGATATGATTTTTATGATTTCCATGTTTGAATACGAAGATGATTGATAATGGACTTTGCATATTTATTATATATATGTATATATATATATATAAAAAATGTACGAAAAAGACTTCTCAATGCTTTTTTGGGGAAAATGACAACTTGGGTAAAACTTAGACACAATGAACTCACTAGAACCTGCTTTTCAGAATATGAAGTTCAATAATTAAGATAATTATCATTTTTTTATCAAAACAATTGTTTCTGTATTAGCGAAGTATTTCCTAAGTGTTTGAGCTTATTTCTTTCTGTAAACATAAAATGCAATAATGTTACAAACAATCATAAAGTTATTGAATATCAACAGACAAAATCAAGTACGGTCGAAATAGAGGAATTTAGACTTTCCTATTTGTTTTTATATTTTCAGCCGTTAATTCTTTTAAAAGAGGAAGACAGCATTGATTAGATTCACTCTGAAATTGAATCCATTTTAGTATGTTCACATTTCACGTTTATTAACAGCTGATAAGAGATTTGTAAATTGAGAATTATCATTTCATTTAACGGAAGTAATATCATGATATTTTGATTATTGTTCGAACAAAATTGTAACTTTTGCACAATATTAAGCTCATCAGTAAAGCACTGCATTCAGATGGATCAAAGTTGCTTAGTGAGACTACACAATAACATGTTGAGTAGAATATCTTGTTATATATCACTGATATGCTGAGACATGAAACCTGTCTGAAATGATTATTAATTTTACCTATTCAGTCGGCCCAGAGACAGGCACTGATGAGTGAGACTTAGGTTAAAGCGATAAATCAAACCCCTTTACCAAAGATGTATTAGAATCAATAAGATATTGATTTAGAGGTTATCAACATTTCAAAGAAAAATTATAAAGCGAGGATGGATGAACGGACAACCAAAATAGTACAATAGCATCAAACGTTTGGATGACTGAGATGAGCTAAAAATAACTATAAACAAAAACTACTTTTTTTCAAATGTGGAAGGTAGATTATTGTTAAAAGTGATTAATACAATTATAGAACAGCAAGGTACCTGTAATTGCAGTGTATGCCATGTTAAACCCAATATCTGTGAACAAGTGGTTACTGTAAAATACCAATTTCACGAAGCGAGCACTGGATTGATTGGATATGGTAATATACTTCCGGACAAGCTGGAAACCATTAAATACATTACAATGCTACTATGATGAATTATGGCTGTGTTTCATGCACATAATTTTGAATTGCAAACCCATCGAATAAGACACATTGTGTGGCAGGACCACGTGCGTTTTCCCTGCGTACTGCGATTTTCTTCCCCAAGAACACCCCACGTGTTTTCCAATTCGTGTCAATAAGGGTGGTTAATATTATTTGATTATTTAATATTTTGTAGAATGTATATAAAATGATTAATAAACAAATAGCCTGTGTTATGTACATGGATCTATCAAATGTATGAACAATTCATGTACGGACATCTGACGAATAGGCAGCTAATACAAATAATGTATGGATGAATGATTTTCGGGGGAGAATGTCACTCATATTCGAAAACATATCAAAGACTGAAACACAACAAAAAAGTACAATAATGTGAGTTCCAAGTGATCTATGAATATGGTATTACTATTAAACGCATTAATAAAAAGTTAATTAACTCCATTAGTTAGATTCCCACACATTTTGCTCTTTTGTACATTATTACCAGGGTTTTGCTGGCTGTTTGATTGATAAAAAGCTTTCCATGCAATACTACATTTTATTTTACTATACTACCTTTTTCTGTCAAATTAACAATTATTTGACTTATGTAATACTTAATAGTACTTTTTACGATTCCTTGGACAGATTCTAAAATTATCGATGATATGATTGTTGGAGTGTTTGACTGATTTCTGATGGTCTGCAGAGAATCTGCAATCACGGTCCAGATTATACTCTCATCCAGCACAACTGTAGTATTACTTCTCGTTAACAAATTACTGGTGAACCAGATGACAAAATCGACAATCGTGCTGCTTCCATTACTGAAATATAAAAAATAACATTTCAATTCCATAAACGGTAGAATATAAGCAAGATAACGGAATACAAGATAACAATGAAAAAAGTCACAGTCAGCATTTTTTTTCAAAATTTATGAAAGGACGGAAATACATCAGCAACAGACAGGAATAAATGGTAAACCTTAAAACGTACGATGAAAATCAGACCATTTCTTTTGGAAGGGTACTTCATATCAACATAACGTCAAGTTCAGCCTATGTTCAGTGTGTCGACTTAGGTTCCATCGCAATATACAGGCTACTTATTGTACTGTTAGAGGCTACCTAGCAACATGGACAAAGACTAACTAGCAACACATGGATATAAACTACCTAGCAACATATTGATATAGACTACCTAACAACAAAGAAATAGACTACCTAACAACAGGGATATAGACTACCTAACAACAGGGATATAGACTACCTAACAACAGAGAAATAGACTACCTAACAACAGGGATATAGACCACCTAACAACAGAGAAATAGACTACCTAACAACAGGGATATAGACTACCTAACAACAAGGATATAGGCTACCTAACAACAGGTATATTGACTACCTAACAACAGAGAAATAGACTACCTAACAACAGGGATATAGAATACCTAAAAACAGGGATATAGACTACCTAACAACAGGTATATAGAATACCTAACAACAGGGATATAGACTACCTAACCACAGGGATACAGACTACCTAGCAACAGGGATATAGACTACCTAACAACAGGGTTACAGACTACCTAACAACAAGGATATAGACTACCTAACCACAGGGATACAGACTACCTAGCAACAGGGATATAGACTACCTAGTAACAGGGATATAGACCACCTAGTAACAGGGATATAGACTACCTAGTAACAGGGATATAGGCTACCTAAAAACATATTGAATTGGAGACAAAAAAGGATCCAATAAAGCAGCAGACATGTCAATAAAATCTGAATTCTATCTCAAATGCGACGGAACAAACGACCAAAATATGAACAGAAGAAACATTTACACGGATATCCATGAAAAAAGTACCTGGCGAATAGAACAAGTTGTTCTGAAAGAGTAAGCTTCTTCTACTTCATCGACGACAACCATAATGTAACCCTTGGTCAATCCAAATACAAAAGTAAAATTACATTCCCAAATGAGAAGGTTAACGAAATGAATTATTTCCTGAAAAGATCAATATGTTTCAGTTGTCAATTTCTGACAACTTCCACGAAAAATCGTTATATCAGGGACAATCCTCAACAGTCATACCTACCTGAAACTTATCACCTGCGTCAGTGTGCCATTTATTGAACTTAGAACTGTGCTGTCCATCTACAAGAAAACGATACAAAGAGAGAAATAATAACACATTTATAAATAAATAGCAAATACCGCTTTCCACATAAATTCTTCAGAAACAGACGGACTGCATATGCAATGTCCTGTATCATTCCCTTAATCTCTTTGACTTTGCATGCACTTTTATCAAATACAGCTAATACCAATGTCATTACCTTAGAGTAGACGGTAACTTACCTTTATCTAATGAGCTAACTGTGATCATTAAAGTTAAGCACGATAAATACTTCCCGTGTGTCATCGTTGAAGCAGAAGACGCATATCCTTCCGGAACACATGACCTTAATCACCTTGTATTATTTCAACATTCTCGATGTAAATCGTTTGTGCTTGCCACGTTTCAATTCCTTTGAATAGTGGCACGATTCAGAAAATACACATGTACTTGATGCTTTTTCTAAAATTATCTGATGTTTGAAAATCATGAAATATATCTAATTATGGGGCTGCTTTACCTCCCCGTCTTGATATTGACTTTTGCTTTTGATCACTTTGGAGGAAACAGCTGTATGATGCAGTTTAATTATTTGGCTATACTATAACTTACTCTAAGTTGTGAAAAGGTGCTATTCACTTGTGTGTCTTTTGTACTACGTTTGCCCTAGTTTCACAGAATTTGATTCTGTTGACATGTCAGTATTTCCTTTTTTCTTCGGTTTTCAACGGACTGGGCAGTTCTGCCTTATGCATTCACATGTTTGAGTCATCTGACCTTGAAAGTGTGCTAATGTTCAAATGTTATATCAACATTTGACCTCATACAAAACAAAGACAACAAAATGATGTCCATAGAATCTTCAAACTCACAATTGATGAAACCAAGATAAAACTAACGCGAACACAAATTACCACGAAGACCCCCAAAAAAAGGTTCAAAGAAGATAGAACCAGGCGTTCGAGAAGGATAAACGTTTTCTGCTTTTTTGACGACAACCGGTAAATAATATTCCTCAAGGTTACCAACAACCAATATATCACTTTTGTACAAAAAAAAAAAAAAAAACCTTGAAAGTGGGTCAAAGCTTGTCATTTTATTTCCTTTCAAGCATCTTTAACTTGTGTAAGTCACTATCGTCAAAAATAAAATCTTTCGAAAATGCGTACATACCAAGGCAGTATGAAGAGCATTTTGTCCGTAACATCATTGTGTATTCAAATATGTTTAAAACAATGACATGACAATGATTTATCATCACTATTGACTTTTAACAACGTAAATGTAAATTAGAAATCGGTCAAGATAAAAACAACGGTCGCTATTTGCCTGTTTCTATATTTGTCAGAATGTATTAATTTTATCCCGTTATTCATATATTTCTAGCATGTTGGAGATAAAGGGTGAGGATGGGACAGATAAATATCTACCCGAGGAGGAGAATCACGACTGTCTAATCCGAGGCGATGTCAAGCTTCAGGTTTGGATAGAGAACTTTTTACTCGCGGAGTTTCACGCTTTTCTAACCTGAGGCGAAGCCAAGCCTCCGGTTAGGACAGGGAACTCTCTCTACCTGAAGAAGAAATTATCTACTGTCTAACGTGAGACGAAGCCAAACCTCAGGTTAGGACAGGGAACTCCCTACCTGAAGAAGAAATTATCTACTGTCTAACCTGAGGCGAAGCTAAGCCTTCAGTTAGGACAGGGAACTCCCTACCTGAAGAAGAAATTCACTACTGTCTAACCTCGAAGCTAAGCCTTCAGTTAGGACAGGGAACTCTCTACGAGAAGCGGAAATACACTATTGTCAAACCTGAGGCGAAGCTAAGCCTTCAGTTAGGACAGGGAACTCCCTACCTGAAGAAGAAATTCTCGACTGTCTAACCTGAGGCGAAGCTAAACCTTCAGTTAGGACAGGGAACTCTCTCTACCTGAAGAAGAAATTATCTACTGTCTAACCTGAGGCGAAGCTAAGCCTTCAGTTAGGACAGGGAACTCCCTACCTGAAGAAGAAATTCACTACTGTCTAACCTGAGGCGAAGCTAAGCCTTCAGTTAGGACAGGGAACTCTCTACCTGAAGCGGAAATACACTATTGTCAAACCTGAGGCGAAGCTAAGCCTTCAGTTAGGACAGGGAACTCCCTACCTGAAGAAGAAATTCTCGACTGTCTAACCTGAGGCGAAGCTAAGCCTTCAGTTAGGACAGGGAACTCTCTACCTGAAGCGGAAATTCACTATTGTCAAACCTGAGGCGAAGCTAAGCCTTCAGTAAGGACAGGGAACTCCCTACCTGAAGAAGAAATTCTCGACTGTCTAACCTGAGGCGAAGCTAAGCCTTCAGTTAGGACAGGGAACTCTCTACCTGAAGCGGAAATACACTATTGTCAAACCTGAGGCGAAGCTAAGCCTTCAGTTAGGACAGGGAACTCCCTACCTGAAGAAGAAATTCACTACTGTCTAACCTGAGGCGAAGCTAAGCCTTCAGTTAGGACAGGGAACTCTCTACCTGAAGCGGAAATTCACTACTGTCTAACCTGAGGCGAAGCTAAGCCTTCAGTTAGGACAGGGAACTCTCTACCTGAAGCGGAAATTCACTACTGTCTAACCTGAGGCGAAGCTAAGCCTTCAGTTAGGACAGGGAACTCCCTACCTGAAGAAGAAATTCATGACTGTATAAGCCCAAGAAAAGCCAAGTCTCGGGTTAGACAGATGTGAATCTCCTCCTTGGGTTGAGAATTTACTGTACACCACACCTTGTTTTTAAATTTTTCTACTTACCGCATTAGAAAACTCTTCTGCCTTATCTCTAAACGTTTGACTGCTTGTGTTGAGTAACTCGGGATTAAATGTTTCATTTAATGACAGGCTTGCATTGTAGTTCACTATAAAAACAAGGAAATACCATCATATGAACATCACCATTATCCAAACTCGAATTTGATAAACCTAGGGAAAATATATGAACAAAAGAAAGATTTTCATGGAAACGCCTGAAGAAGTACAATAGTCTTTTTTCTACTTCATCGCCGACACCTAGGTGGGTATATACCATAAACGTTATCAATGAATTTCGTTATTTAAAGAGTTTTTGTGAGCTATTATGATAAGTTTTGATGAAATTAGCCTCGTATAAAACAAAAGTCAGCCAACAGTGGGACAGTTATTTCCCATATGAATACCAATTTGTTGGAGAAATACGGCGAATTTCAATGTAGATATTAGAAATGAACCGCTCTGGTTGGTCAAAACTACGAAAGTTATGTTTCCCTGGAAATGTTACATCATCAATAGAAAGGTTATTTTATATTATCAATTGAAAATTCACTTGCTTCAACGGAGAAAATTATGGGATTGTAAAAAATAAATATTCTAACTTTTCACTTTTTGTCATTTTTGACATTGACGTAAAGGAATTATTTAGCAAACAATTATAATGATGCAGAAGTATTTTCTCACAGGGGTTCCGGATTTTGAGTAATGTATGACGTCACTTTATAAGCACTTTAAGTCCAGTAGTTATACACAGTATGAAACCTTATAGAAATGGGTAATTTAACCATCGATACCCAATTTTTAGAAGGTTTGAAAATGTTTATAAATACTGGATTTGTAGTTTTCTGGTAATGAACGTGTGTAAAAACATTCCAAAATTACTTACCAGCAACAGCTGAGACGTTAAGAGTTATCGGTAAACTACTTCCGGTCCCTAAACTATTGTTTGCATTACAGATGTAAACGGCGCTGTCGTCAAAACTAGCTTTGATAATGATGAGAGAAGCATCATTCAGGGTCACTCCACTGTAGTCGGATTCATCAACCAATATCGTTCTAAGTTCTGTCTCGTTGACTTTCATCTGCCAGTATACATCAACAGGCGGGGGGTTTCCAGTGACGTTACACGTCAAAGTCACATTGAATCCGAGATCCCCAGATACAAATGTATTAGGAATTGTAGCGATGGGAACACCTTTAAAAAGAAGCTATAATTTTAAGCGTTAAGCTTAGAAACAATAAAGAAAATAGCATGGTCTCAACAGAATCTTAACATTGACACTGCCCCCCCCCACCCACCCCCTGCAACTCACTGCAACCTTCAATGTGTTTTTGTAACACACAACCCTCCTCCCCCACTCCCCCAACCCCTGAACCCTACGCCTTCTCTGAAAAATTATTAAATGAGTTATTCCTTAAGATCCCTTTGCTTCACTTTTTAAACTATATCATATGCTTCAAAACAGGCATTCTCATCACCACAACCTCAATTGCTTTATCTTAAATAACCCGCGTCTTCTGTTTGTGGGTATCCATTCGCATTTTATCACAGGAGATATGGAGTCGTATGATATAACAAGGACCTTTTTATATAAATATAAAAAAGTCAAATAATTGTATTTACTATTAATCAAATAACTAAAAATCTCGCTTTTTAGTGGTAGTTACTCGCCTTCTATCTCAAGAGTGATGAGGTTGCTACTTCCAGTTCCAACACTGTTGTTGGCTTTACAGATATATACAGCACTGTCTGATATCGCTACGCTGATTATTCTTAGAGAAGGGTCACCTGGGGTCACGCCCGTGTAACGGACACCATCGACCACCAGTGTCTCGATCTCGCCCCCACTGACTATTCTCTGCCAGAACACATCAGTCACAATAGGCGTTCCGGTCACGTTACAGGCTAGCGTCACATTGTCACCAGCAATTGCTGTTATATTCCGGACAAGAACCGTCACTGTTGGAATATCTTTGAAAAAAAAAACAACATCTTTACAATATATGTTGTTGTATGTTATTATACATTTTCGAAATAACAAAACAAATACATTGACTCACTTCTCTTGATGAAGAAACATTGTTTTTGTACAATCGCTTAATCTTTCTGAAAAACTAAATTCATTTCATTTTATTTCCTTCATTAAATGTGAAAAATCATGAAATTTATTGAATTTTGCAAGTTTAATGCACCTTCTCGTCTGGTTTATGACGTTTCTTTTGACCACGGTGGACGAGTTAACTGTATGGTACGGTTGAATTCATTCTTTGACTATACAGTATCAAGTTCTTGTGTATGTGAATTATTTCAAACGTGCATCTTCTATGAGCAAATTAATAAAAACTATCTGAGCCCCATCCCACATGAAAAATAATTTTACTTGCAATAACCATTTAGTTAATTGGAGCAATCAGATACTTAAATACTTACCTGTCAGCGTAGAGGTTTCGGCGGAAGAAGTTGTTGTAGTTGTAGTTGTCGTAGTTTCTGGGGTAGTAGTTGTTGGAGTTGTAGTTGTCGTAAGTTCTGGAGTAGAAGTTGTTGTACTGGTAGTTGTCGTAGGTTCTGGGGCAGTAGTTGTTGGAGTTGTAGCTGTCGCAGGTCCCTGGGTAGTAGTTGTTGTATTGGTAGTTGTCGTAGCTTCCGGGGTAGTAGATGTTCTAGCTGTAGTTGTCGTAGGTTCTGGGGCAGTAGTTGTTGGAGTTGTAGTTGTCGTAGGTTCTGGAGTAGTAGTTGTTGTAGTTGTAGTTGTCGTAGCTTCTGGGGTAGTAGTTGTTGGAGTTGTAGTTATTGTAGGCTCTGGGGTAGTAGTTGTTGGAGTTGTAATTGTCGTAGCTTCCGGGGTAGTAGTTGTTGGAGTTGTAGTTGTCGTAGGTTCTTGGGTAGTAGTTGTTGGAGTTGTAGTTGTCGTAGGTTCTGGAGTAGTAGTTGTTGTAGTGGTAGTTGTCGTAGGTTCTGGGGTAGTAGTTGTTGGAGTTGTAGTTGTCGTTGGTTCTGGGGTAGTAGTTGTTGGAGTTGCTGTCGTAAATTCATTGGTAGTAGTTGTTGGAGTTGTAGTTGTCGTAGGTTCCTGGGTAGTAGTTGTTGTAGTTGTAGTTTTCGTAGGTTCCTGGGTAGTAGTTGTTGTACTGGTAGTTGTCGTAGCTTCTGGGGTAGTAGTTGTTGTAGTTGTAGTTGTCGTAGCTTCTGGGTTAGTAGTTGTTGGAGTGGTAGTTGTCGTAATATCTGGGGTAGTAGTTATCGCAATTGCTGTCGTAAATTCATTGGTAGTAGTTGTTGGAGTTGTAGTTGTCGTAGGTTCTGGGGCAGTAGTTGTTGGAGTTGTAGTTGTCGTAGGTTCTGGGGCAGTAGTTGTTGTAGGTTCTGGGGTAGTAGTTGTTGAAAATGCAGTTGTCGTAGGTTCCTGGGTAGTAGTTGTTGCACTGGTAGTTGTCGTAGATTCCGGGGTAGTAGTTGTTGTAGTGGTAGTTGCCGTAAGGTCTGGGGCAGTAGTTGTTGGAGTGGTAGTTGTCGTAATATCTGGGGTAGTAGTTGTTGTAGTTGTAGTTGTCGTAGGTTCTGGGGCAGTAGTTGTTGGAGTGGAAGCTGTCGTAGGTTCTGGGGTAGTAGTTGTTGTAGTTGTAGTTGTTGTAGGTTCTTGGGTAGTAGTTGTTGTAGTTATAGTTGTCGTAGGTTCTGGGGCAGTAGTTGTTGTAGTTGTAGTTGTCGTAGGTTCTGGGGCAGTAGTTGTTGAAGTTGTAGTTGTCGTAGATTCCGGGGTAGTAGTTGTTGTAGTGGTAGTTGCCATAAGGTCTGGGGCAGTAGTTGTTGGAGTGGAAGTTGTCGTAGATTCCTGGGTAGTAGTTGTTGTAGTTGTAGTTGTCGTAGGTTCTGGGGTAGTAGTTGTTGGAGTTGTAGTTGTTGTAGGTTCTTGGGTAGTAGTTGTTGTAGTTATAGTTGTCGTAGGTTCTGGGGCAGTAGTTGTTGTAGTTGTAGTTGTCGTAGGTTCTGGGGCAGTAGTTGTTGGAGTTGTAGTTGTCGTAGGTTCTGGGGTAGTAGTTGTTGTACTGGTAGTTGTCGTAGCTTCCAGGGCAGTAGTTGTTGGAGTGGAAGTTGTCGTAGTCTCTGGGGTAGTAGTTGTTGTAGTGGTAGTTGTCGTAATATCTGGGGTAGTAGTTATCGCAGTTGCTGTCGTAAGTTCATTGGTAGTAGTTGTTGGAGTTGTAGTTATCGTAGGTTCTGGGGTAGTAGTTGTTGGAGTTGTAGTTGTCGTTGGTTCTTGGGTAGTAGTTGTTGGAGTTGTAGTTGTCGTAGGTTCTGGGGTAGTAGTTGATGGAGTTGTAGTTGTCGTAGGTTCTGGGGCAGTAGTTGTTGGAGTTGTAGTTGTCGTAGGTTCTTGGGTAGTAGTTGTTGGAGTTGTAGTTATCGTAGGTTCTGGGGTAGTAGTTGATGGAGTTGTAGTTGTCGTAGGTTCTGGGGCAGTAGTTGTTGGAGTTGTAGTTGTCGTTGGTTCTTGGGTAGTAGTTGTTGGAGTTGTAGTTATCGTAGGTTCTGGGGTAGTAGTTGATGGAGTTGTAGTTGTCGTAGGTTCTGGGGTAGTAGTTGTTGAAAATGCAGTTGTCGTAGGTTCCTGGGTAGTAGTTGTTGTACTGGTAGTTGTCGTAGCTTCCGGGGTAGTAGTTATCGCAGTTGCTGTCGTTAGTTCATTGGTAGTAGTTGTTGGAGTTGTAGTTGTCGTAGGTTCTGGGGCAGTAGTTGTTGGAGTTGTAGTTGTCGTAGTCTCTGGGGCAGTAGTTGTTGAAAATGCAGTTGTCGTAGGTTCCTGGGTAGTAGTTGTTGTACTGGTAGTTGTCGTAGCTTCCGGGGTAGTAGTTATCGCAGTTGCTGTCGTTAGTTCATTGGTAGTAGTTGTTGGAGTTGTAGTTATCGTAGGTTCTGGGGTAGTAGTTGTTGAAAATGCAGTTGTCGTAGGTTCTTGGGTAGTAGTTGTTGTACTGGTAGTTGTCGTAGCTTCCGGGGTAGTAGTTGTTGGAGTGGAAGTTGTCGTAATATCTGGGGTAGTAGTTATCGCAGTTGCTGTCGTAAGTTCATTGGTAGTAGTTGTTGGAGTTGTAGTTATCGTAGGTTCTGGGGTTGTAGTTGTTGGAGTTGTAGTTATCGTAGGTTCTGGGGTTGTAGTTGTTGGAGTTGTAGTTATCGTAGGTTCTGGGGCAGTAGTTGTTGGAGTTGTAGTTGTTGTAGGTTCTCGGGTAGTAGTTATCGCAGTTGCTGTCGTAGGTTCATTGGTAGTACTTGTTGGAGTTGTAGTTGTCGTAGCTTCCGGGGTAGTAGTTATCGCAGTTGCTGTCGTAGGTTCATTGGTAGTACTTGTTGGAGTTGTAGTTGTCGTAGCTTCTGGGGTAGTTGTAGTTGTTGGAGTTGTAGTTGTAGCAGGTTCTGGGGTAGCAGTTGTTGTAGTTGTAGTTGTAGTTGTCGTAGGTTCTCGGGTAGTAGTTGTTGTACTGGTAGTTGTCGTAGGTTCCTGGGTAATAGTTGTTGTACTGGTAGTTGTCGTAGCTTCCGGGGTAGTAGTTGTTGGAGTGGAAGTTGTCGTAATATCTGGGGTAGTAGTTGTTGGAGTTGTAGTTGTCGTAGGTTCTGGGGCAGTAGTTGTTGGAGTTGTAGTTGTCGTAGGTTCTGGGGCAGTAGTTGTTGTACTGGTAGTTGTCGTAGGTTCTGGGGTAGTAGTTGTTGGAGTTGTAATTGTCGTAGGTTCCTGGGTAGTAGTTGTTGTAGTTGTAGTTGTCGTAGGTTCTCGGGTAGTAGTTGTTGTACTGGTAGTTGTCGTAGGTTCCTGGGTAATAGTTGTTGTACTGGTAGTTGTCGTAGCTTCCGGGGTAGTAGTTGTTGGAGTGGAAGTTGTCGTAATATCTGGGGTAGTAGTTGTTGGAGTTGTAGTTGTCGTAGCTTCTGGGGTAGTAGTTGTTGGAGTTGTAGTTGTCGTAGGTTCTGGGGCAGTAGTTGTTGGAGTTATAGTTGTCGTAGGTTCTGGGGCAGTAGTTGTTGGAGTTGTAGTTGTCGTAGGTTCTGGGGTAGTAGTTATCGCAGTTGCTGTCGTAGGTTCATTGGTAGTACTTGTTGGAGTTGTAGTTGTCGTAGCTTCCGGGGTAGTAGTTATCGCAGTTGCTGTCGTAGGTTCATTGGTAGTACTTGTTGGAGTTGTAGTTGTCGTAGCTTCCGGGGTAGAAGTTGTTGTACTGGTAGTTGTCGTAGCTTCTGGGGTAGTTGTAGTTGTTGGAGTTGTAGTTGTCGTTGGGGTAGTTGTAGTTGTTGGAGTTGTAGTTGTCGTTGGGGTAGTTGTAATTGTTGAAGTTGTAGTTGTCGTTGGGGCAGTTGTAGTTGTTGGAGTTGTAGTTGTCGTTGGGGTAGTTGTAGTTGTTGGAGTTGTAGTTGTCGTTGGGGTAGCTGTAGTTGTTGGAGTTGTAGTAGTTTCGGTTGTATTTGCTGGGGTGTTAGTCGTAGTCGTTGTTGTTGTTCTAACAGCTGTTACGGCTGTAAAGAAAAAACAATAAAATCATCATTCTAACACAACTGTGAGCTAAACCCAGCTTTTCAAAATATTTGCTGTAAGTTTGAAAATTCTTACGCATTTATTAAACTTCACATTGAAACATTTCGATGTAATTTGGATTCAATATTGATAACCCGCTAGTAAATCAGAAATTTGACCTAATTCTGTTAATTGGTTGACACCGTTGTTTCATCCGTCCTTGTCAAAAAATAGTGAAGAACAAAGAAAGTAAGCATACTGTTCAGTATTTAGCGTGGAATATTGAAAAACAAGAAAATACCAACATGTCAACATAATCCAAACTCATATTGAATCAACCTAGGGCTAAATATGAACAAAATTAAGATTTTCCCGGAGACTCCTTAAAAAGTACGAGATGAATAAGACCAGGTGTTCCGGAAGAGCAAACGTTTTCTATCTCGTCGACGGCATCCGCCATATAACCACGTTCTCAAATGTGAACAAGGTATACAACAACGAAAACAACAGGCAAACGTACTGGCGTCAAACACGTCCAGTTTTATATCACACAAAGAAATAGAAAGTTTCTACACTAGAAAATGTCTAAGACATGAATGTTCCCGCGACTGTTTGATGTGTTAGCACTAGCTGTCAGCAGTTTAGAAGGCGCTTATCCTTCCGGACCACTGGATTTTGTTCTTTTGTACTTATCATAAATAATAATAATAATGTATTTTTTCTATTGTTCATATTTTGCCCTAGATCAAAACATTTTAGTTTTGATTATGATTATGTTGACATGTTGGTATTTTTTTGTTCATTTTTCACAGAAAGGGATGTGAGATTATTGGACGGAAAGATATGGTTAATACTAAATGTCCCTCCCGTAAATGATAATGATGACGAGGGTATGAAAAAAGTAAAAATATGGGAAAAAAAGACAAAATGGGCGATGAAAAACGACTGAATATTATAATACAAATAAAGAGAACAAGAAACAAAATAGAATAAAACAATGTAAAAAATAAAAAAGACAAAAACAGTGATATTAGGAATTTTTCAAATTCCATAAAAATAAAATATATATGTTTTCAAAACCTGTGCCAAAATCTGGAAACAAATTTTATGGTTTCCAAGGTAACAACTTTTGGCGAAATGACTCCAGAGTATCAAAGAAAAAATATAGATATTTTTTACGCATTTTAACGTGTTGTAATAACTGTTCCCTAGTTATTGGTAAAAAACACTAGAATTATTATTTGAATTAAGTCTACCTTGTACGGTGCCCTGCAGTGTCGAGGTGATTAAGTCCTCTATGAGCAGCCGTGTACTATCGGTAGGTCCCGCCTCGCTGGACACAGATGACAGTCCTGATAACAAAATATCACCGATCTGCTGAGGACTCACGATGGCTTGACCAACTGTGATGGAGGTGAATGAAACGATAAAACTGCAAACCACACTCCCTTCACTGAAACGCAAATTCCTTTGTATTTAGTCGGATGCACTGACTGGAAGTATTTCGGAGCAATACACAATGATACTAGCCAACAACGGACACTAAAACATCAATATATAATGTTGCTAACATTTGTATACTGTCTTGCCTTCGTCATCGAACGAGGAGAAGGTTAAACACATATTTGTTGAGTCCTGATTATCAGATCCACTGATATGATGTTTCTTGATCAGACCGTACAAAAAAAGATTAACTTTCAAAAAGAAAGTGTATGACAGGTGATTTGTAGTGAAACTTCAGATAAGTATCAGTGTTTGCTTTCATGCAATGTAGAAAAAAGATTACGAACTGAATCCATTCTTTTTCACTGAACCAAAATTCATTGCAAAGATATTAGAACAAATAACACTCAGTATATCGTCGTAATCACTTCCAATGAAAACCCCAAAAAGATTCAGACGTACACTACATTGCGTGGAAGTGTATACAGATAAAGTTACATTACTAGGAAGGATATAGACCAAGTCACTAGGACGTATACAGGTATGGATTTAGTTACTAGGAAGGATATAGACCAAGTCTCTAGGACGTATACAGGTATGGATTTAGTTACTAGGAAGGATATAGACCAAGTCACTAGGACGTATACAGGTATGGATTTAGTTACTAGGAAGGATATAGACCAAGTCACTAGGACGTATACAGGTATGGATTTAGTTACTAGGAAGGATATAGACCAAGTCACTAGGACGTATACAGATATGGATTAAGTTACTAGGAAGGATATAGACAACGTCACTAGGACGTATACAGGTATGGATTTAGTTACAAGGAAGGATAAAGACCAAGTCACTAGGACGTATACAGGTATGGATTTAGTTACTAGGAAGGATATAGACCAAGTCACTAGGACGTATACAGGTATGGATTTAGTTACTAGAAAGATATAGACCAAGTCACTAGGACGTATACAGGTATGGATTTAGTTACAAGGAAGGACATAGACCAAGTCACGACGACGTATACAGGTATGGATTTAGTTACTAGGAAGGATATAGACTACGTAACTAGGACGTATAAAGGTATGGATTAAGTTACTAGGAAGGATATAGACTACGTCACCAGGACGTATAAAGGTATGGATTTAGTTACTAGGAAGGATATAGACCAAGTCACTAGGACGTATACAGGTATGAATTTAGTTACAAAGAAAGATACAGACCAAGTCACTAGGACGTATACAGGTATAGATTTAGTTACTAGGAAGGATATAGACCAGGTCACTAGGACGTATACATGTATGGATTTAGTTACTAGGAAGGATATAGCCTACCTCACTAGAATGTATACATGTACAGATTTAGTTACTAGAAAGGATATAGACCAAGTCACTAGGACGTATACAGGTATGGATTTAGTTACTAGGAAGGATATAGACCAAGTCACTAGGACGTATACAGGTATGGATTTAGTTACTAGGAAGGATATAGACCAAGTCACTAGGACGTATACAGGTATGGATTTAGTTACTAGGAAGGATATAGACAAAGTCACTAGGATGTATTTAAGGATTGAATCTTGCTTATGTCGATTTCATGGGATGATGAATTGAGTTGGTCTTGAGACAAACTTCGCAGTTCTTGTTGAATTCGTCTGAAGACCAACTTAATTCATCATCCCATGAAATTGACATAAGCAAGATTCAATACTTATATTTCAATTCACGCTTCTTTTTTCTATAGCATGGCAACTGACGCAATTTATCTTCTACTTTCATTTTCATTTCTTGTCATCGTATCGTTTTACGTCATACAAGCAAATAGTCCGTCCTTTGAAGACATATCATTGTGACAGGTTGAAATCTATTTCAGCGTGGAAACTTTAAATAAGAACAAAATTTAATACATTTTTCGACAACTTAAATGAGATCTAAATCATACTGTGAAACAAAGACAGTATGCATTTTCCCCGCGGAGGAATAACGTCTAGATGTGGTGAGCCGGTTCGCAAATGAAGCGTTGTCGGCCATTTTTTTTTACAGACATCGAAGCGGAGAACAAGAAATATCAGGCTTCAGTCGCTTCAAATCTTTTGAAACGTAAAGTTACATTTATTAAATGTTGAATGCATATTTTTTTTAAAAAAATTGTATTAATAGTTTTCAATAGTTTTTTAAATTTTTATTTTGATAATTCTAAATTTCATACTTGTGGTATATTGCCAGTTTAGTAGAAGTTTGGGAGTTTTCTCCCCTTACCTAATATTTGTATTCATACGCACTGTCAATGTTAATCTGTTCAAATTCATCGGTAAGTGAAACAGATCACATTTAGTAGTTTCATTGAGTCTGATTTGGGTAGAACTTGAAATATACAGGTATAGATTTAGTTACTACGAAGGATATAGACCAAATCACAAGGACGTATACAGGTGAGGATTTAGTTACTAGGAAGGATATAGACCAAATCACTAGGACCTATACATGTATGGATTTAGTTAATAGGAAGGATATAGACCAAATCACTAGGACGTATACAGATATGGATTTAGCTACTAGGAAGGATATAGACTACGTCACCACGACGTATACAGATATGGATTTAGTTACTAGGAAGTATTCAGGTCTGGACTTTGTTACTAGGAAGTATACAGGTCTGGACTTTGTTACTAGGAAGAATACAGGCATAGACTTTGTTGCTAGGAAGTATAGAGGTATATATTTTGTTACTAGGATGTATACAGACATAGTATTTGTTACTATGAAATATACAGGCATATACTTTGTGACTAGGAAGTATACAGGCATATACTTTGTGACTAGGAAGTATACAGGCATATACTTTGTTACTAGGACGTAAAGAGGTATAGACTATGTTACTAGACAGTATACAGGCATATACTTTGTTACTAGGACGTAAAGAGGTATAGACTATGTTACTAGACAGTATACAGGTCTGGACTTTGTTACTAGGAAGTATATAGGTCTGGACTTTGTTGCTAGGAAGTATACAGGTCTGGACTTTGTTACTAGGATGAATACAGGCATAGACTTTGTTGCTAGGAAGTATAGAGGCATATACTTTGTAACTAGGAAGTATACAGGCATATACTTTGTAACTAGGAAGTATACAGGCATATACTTCGTTACTATGAAGTATACAGGTATGGGCTTTGTAACTAGGAAGTATACAGGCATAGACTTCGTTACTAGGAAGTATACAGGTATGGACATTGTAACTAGGAAATATACAGACATATACTTTGTTACTAGGAAGTACACAGGTTATACTTTATACCTAGGAAGTATACAGGTAAAGACTTTGTTACTAGGAAGTACACAGGTAAAGACTTTGTTACTTGGAAGTATACAGGTCTGGACTTTGTTACTAGGAAATATACAGGCATAGGCTTTGTTACTAGGAAGTATACAGACATAGCATTTGTTACTAGGAAGTATACAGGTAAAGACTTTGTTACTAGGAAGTACACAGGTAAAGACTTTGTTACTTGGAAGTATACAGGTCTGGACTTTGTTACTAGGAAATATACAGGCATAGGCTTTGTTACTAGGAAGTATACAGACATAGCATTTGTTACTAGGAAGTATACAGGTAAAGACTTTGTACCTAGGAAGTATACATGCATAGACTTTGTTACTAGGAAGTATACAGGCATAGTATTTGTTACTAGGAAGTACACAGGTAAACACTTTGTTACTTGGAAGTATACAGATCTGGACTTTGTTACTAGGAAGTATACAGATCTGGACTTTGTTACTAGGAAGTATACAGGTTATACTTTGTTACTTGGAAGTATACAGGTCTGGACTTTATTACTAGGATGTATACAGGCATATACTTTGTTACTAGGAAGTATACAGACATAGACTTTGTTACTAAGAAGTATACAGGCATAGGATTTGTTACTAGGAAGTATACAGACATAGACTTTGTTACTAAGAAGTATACAGGCATAGGATTTGTTACTAGGAAGTATACAGGCATATAATTTGTAACTAGGACGTATACAGGTAAAGACTTCGTTACTAGGAAGTTTACAGGTAAAGACTTCGTTACTAGGAAATTTACAGGTCTGGACTTTGTTACTAGGAAGTATACAGGCATATACTTTGTTACTAGGAAGTATACAGGTATGGACTTTGTTACTAGGAAGTTTACAGGTATGGACTTTGTTACTAGGAAGTATACAGGCATATACTTTGTTACTAGGAAGTATACAGGTAAAGACTTCGTTACTAGGAAGTTTACAGGTAAAGACTTTGTTACTAGGAAGTATGCAGGTCTGGACTTTGTTACAAGGAATTAAACACGTGTGGACTTTGTTACTAGGAAATATACAGGTCTGGACTTTGTTACTAGAAAGTATGCAGGCATATACTTTGTTACTAGGAAGTATACAGGTAAAGACTTCGTTACTAGGAAGTATACAGGTATAGACTGTGTTACTAAGAAGTATACAGGTATAGACTACGTTGGTTTCGACATTTTAGATGTTACAATTTTACATCAAGGTTTGCCATAACCTTCATGCAACGCTTTAATCTATTCGAGCAGTGGTTTACAAAATACAGTTTTATCAAATACACGAAAAATCGTGATATTTATTAAATTATGGACCTTAGTGCATCTTCTTATCAAAATTTTGACATTTATCTCTGTTCTCTTCTTCGATGTTTTTCGACGAGTCCAAGTAGGAAGAAACAGCTGTATGATGTAATTTAATTCATTATTTGACTCTACTATATTGTATTAAAATGTGTTATTCACTGATCTGCCATTTGTACTCTAATCGAATGCTACTGCTCGCCAGTACCTACCTCAGTCCTGTCAGTGTTGTGCCAGCGTAATTATCGTTCAAATTACCTCTGCCGAAACCAGCATCCATCTGTCAATGTAAGTATTGTTACCTACAGTAGAGTTTTAAATAGCATTCATGCGTGTGACCGCTTTAACAAACAACAGGTTTTCCGGATTAACTACGATCAAAGCATTATAGATGTTCTGAAGTAAAAACACAAAAAATAAAGAAAAATTACAGTCATTTCTATTGATAAAGATAGGTACATGTATATTTGCCGTTCAGTATCCTGTTTATCACTTTCAACATTTACATTTTTATTTTGTTTATTACGTTTTTATGTTATAAATAAGAGATATCTATTTTTTCCATTTTCCTCTCTTCTTTTCTATTTTTTTTTTTAAAGTCTGCCGATTCCTTTTCTTAATTTACTTGGTATTTTGTAAAGGATTCATATCTATGACATATTCTCACCATGTTGATGAAATTTTGACGAAACTCTTGGTATTTTGGACTGTTGGTGTTCAAATAGTCTGGATCCCAGGGTCTTTGTAAACTTAATTCCCCGATGTATTCCGCTATAAAACGTATAATGGAACAAGTAATTGACAATTTCAAAAGTCTATTGTCTTCTTTGCTATTCTCTACCAACATAAAGAGATATTGCTTTGCTTAACTCTACATCTCAAACTAGCTACATCATACAAGCATTATTCGAAACTTTAAATCTCCTCAAAGTGTGATTCATTAAGCATGCAGCAAGTTAACATACACATTTTCAATGAGAAAATTGTTAGATGAAATTTAGGTAAACTCGAGAATATCAATGTTCTTGTGTGCGAATTAGGAATGAAATATCGATTTCAAACGTGTCTGAAAATCAGGGGATGGTGTGTTGTAGATAGAAAGCAACATTCTCACAGGTCAATGCTTAAATATGGCCGATACTAAAGATAGCACGGCTCGCATCCATTGATACTTAAATAAGTACAACTCATATTGGTCATCACTAAAACACGTACAATCTCATTGATCAATACTCAAATGTACCACTCTCACTGGTCAATACTAAAATGCACCATTCTCACTGGTCAATACTCAAATGTACCACTCTCACTGGTCAATACTCAAATGTACCACTCTCACTGGTCAATACTCAAATGTACCACTCTCATTGGTCAATACTCAAATGTACCACTCTCACTGGTCAATACTCAAATGTACCCCTCTCACTTGTCAATACTCAAATGTACCACTCTCACTGGTCAATACTCAAATGTACCACTCTCACTGGTCAATACTCAAATGTACCACTCTCATTGGTCAATACTCAAATGTACCACTCTCACTGGTCAATACTCAAATGTACCCCTCATACTGGTCAATACTCAAATGTACCACTCTCATTGGTCAATACTCAAATGTACCAATCTCACTGATCAATACTCAAATGTACCACTCTCATTGGTTAATACTAAAAAGGTATCATGGCCTCTTATTCGTTAACGCTGAAAAGTGTCATTTTATTGGTCAATACTAAAACGATAACATTCTCAGTGGGAAATTCTGAAAGGGTAGTTTAGTAGAAATTGTAAAAAGAAATACCGATTTCGTATTTCGACGCTTAAACTAAATACTATCATCATATTGCTCAAAGAATTATTTTCCATACATATTACTTTATGAAAAAATGTTATTACGTCCATAAAACTTATCACAAGTATAATGCGTCAACCATTATGGCAATAGATATTAAAGTTTAACGTAAAAAACATTTACTTTCATTGATACGTACCAGGTTGGTCAGTGTTAGGCATTGCTGAAGCTGTAAAAAGAGGGAATAAAGTAACACAATGTTGTCAAAATCCCAGCACTAAAAAGATATGTGATAGGAATCCGTCCAAACGTTTGTGCAAGAAGATGTAATGTGTAAACAGTAAATCAATTTATTAGAGGAACACAGTTATTTAGTAAATGAGCCGGTTTGGTTACAGCGTACATATTACTACTTAACGGTGATTAGGACAGCCCTTAAACTGTGTGCGCATGCGCTGTGCAGAAAATTCTTCTTCGTCACTGCGATATAGAGAAGAATTGGAAAAATTGCAATGGAGTGAGTGAAATTTAATCAAAATCTCTCGAGGAATTAGGTCAATATTGCGAGGATTACATTTTACTCAAAATAGCAACGATGATATTGATCTTGTCCCTATATAACATAATAACTCAAAGTTTTCCCACATGGTATTGTCCTTCATAAGTGTATGAATTTTATAAGAAAAAAATGTCCCTTATAGATGAAGCTGTGGAACGCTTGTAAAGTTTCAAATAAGAAAGTTAAGAAAGTCTTGGCCTTAAATCTTGCAATAAATTAACTATTTCCCTTTTCTGTCGTCAATTGTCACTGGTAAATAATAACCTCAGTCATTCATAAGCCTCTAAAAAGAGGGTAAAGTGATAGGTCCGGAAGTTGTGTTTAGCCACTTAGGATGAATTCCATGCATTTGTTGGGGAATAATTATGTGAGAGAAAAAACACAAACCAAAAAACTTTATAAACAAACAAAAATGAATAGACAGATAACACAAAAGTAAACAAAAACAAAATAAAAAGACGAAATAAACATGAGTTATCAATAGATGTGTCAATTCATTAGCTTTAATAACCACATTCCTTACGAGTGAATATTATTTTCATAACTTCTGTATATTAATGAATACCCACATGAATCACTTGAGGAAACCAGCAACCCGATAGTCACTCCGATAATGATGAGTATGCAGACAATCGCCATAACAACACCGATGAGGAGTCTCCGGAACGACCCACTGCTAGAGTCCTTGATATTTTCATCCGACCTTGATCTCCAGGTTCCGCGCGTGTTGTGGAAGTTGTCATGGTTATAAAAGTCGAGATAGTTCAAAGGATTCCACGATCTTATGGCAGATTCTTTCAGAGTGTTTTCATAACCATGGTTGTCCGGAGTGTTGTAGTCGGAGTACTGATATCCTCTGTAAGCATTGTCGTAGGTGTAATCTATATCGTCATCATGACTGTGACGCCTCTCCTACAATAAGCACATGTTATGTATCACAGAAGCTGGATCAATTGAAATAATGTCATGTTCACAAAGGAAGAGTCATGTGAAATAACGAAATCTACTAACTGTTACGCAAATAATTGGTGTATTATGGAAGAAAAAAATCTACTTTAAATTGTGTTGAATTGAATCGAACTTCATATCATTCTCAGGAATAAAATATTTCACAACAACATGACTGAGACCATTAAACCTTCAAATAGTCTTCATCTACTCTCATCTCTCGACACTCTCTTTGGTTAAAGGCCAAAGAAAGTTGAATTACGCTGGACATGTAAACACCTTTTTCAGAAGGAAGTATAATACTATTTAGAAATGGAATATTAGATATAACGTTATTTATGTTGTCTGCGTGTGAACCATCAAATGCTATTTTAATGCAAAACAATTTTATATGGTATGGTATGATTAGTTGTCAGTTTAAGAACAAAAACGTGAAAAGACCGGCATGTTAACAGAATAATGATTCAAACACAAATTTCGAAAAAAACATTACAAAATATGAACAAACAAAAAAAGATTTCCCAAAAAAGTCATCGCAATACAATTAGAAAAATACCAGGTGTTCCGGAAGGGTAAGTGCCCCTCCAAGTCAATCCATGTAGCGTCATGTTCCCAAAAATTAACAGGTGGAGCAACAACGGGACCACCTGATAACGAGCATCAAACACATCCGGCTTCATATCTCAGAAAGAATGCATGCCACTTGTGCAGCTGATTCTGTACTTATATTACGGTTGAAATGACTGCACGCACTCACGCTGAGACCAGGGCAGCATGTTTGGGGCAAGTAGCCTTAATCACGGCACATTCTCTCATGGAGACCTGACCGTGGATTTAATGAATGAACGCTCTCTAACCGAAATCAGACTAGTATGGTCTAGTCAAATACATTTTAATGACTAGGTACAAGCTGAGAGAGGACTGACTAGCTTTATGGGCACTTTCTCACCGACACCGGGCCAGTATAGTGAGGATAAATAGCTTTACTGACAGGACGCTTTCTCACCGACACTGGGCCAGTATGGTGAGGACAAGAAGCCTTACTGACAGGACGCTTCCTCATCGACACCGGGCCAGTATGTTCGGGCCACTTACCCTTAATGACTGGATACTTTACTGCGCAGACCGGACCAATATCCTTAATGTTTGAACCATCTCTCATGAAGACTGGTCCGGTGTTATTGAGCCTAGTATACCTAATATTTGGACTCTCTCTCGTGAAAACTGGTCCAGAGTAGTCGGGCCTAGTATCCTGAATGTTTGAACCTCTCTCATGAAGACTGGTCCGGTGGTGTGTTATACCTAATATTTGGGTGAAAACTAGTAGTCGGGCCTTAATGTTTGAACCATCTCTCTCTCTCATGAAGTATACTAATATTTGGACTCTCTCTCGTGAAAACTGGCCCAGAGTAGTCGGGCCTAGTATCCTGAATGTTTGAACCTCTCTCATGAAGACTGGTCCAGTGTGTTCGGGCCTAGTATCCTGAATGTTTGGACCCTCTCACATAAAGATTGGTCCAGTGTGGTCGGGCCTATCATCCTTAATGTTTGGAAACTCTCTCATGAAGACTGGTCCACAGTGGTCGGGCCTAGTATCCTTAATGTTTGACAAAGTGTATCAAATACGATAATCATGCATATCATTACTGTGCTAATTTTAATTATCATCTGATGACCTTCCTATCATCATTACAAACCTTGTTGGACTATGTACTTTGGTTGTATTTCTGATATCCTTGTATCAGGTGGCATACTGACACATGGACCAAATACCATAACAATCAAACAATGTCACATGTAGTTGAAAGATTTTATGACGTCATTGTGATTAAGGATTGTTGTTTGTCATTATTTTATTTATTTTATTTTATTTATTTTTATTTTTTTTTGTGAACATTGCAGTCTTCAAAGATATATATAACTATATGTATTTAAAGTTCACAATGTGTAGTGTCTATAAATGCCATTATCCCAAAAATTAAAATTTTACTAATATGCCCCTACTAAAAAAGTGTCTACTTTAGCAAACCTTCCGAGACGAGTTAGTCATATCGCCTCTGAAATGAAATGTTTAAAAAAAAGATAGATTTTAAAGTCGAAATGTATAAAGCAAGATCAAACGAAGGTTTTGCTCTGATTCATAACTGGATGAATAACTGTGACATCGGCTTCGCACTCTCTCGTGGTAAATGCGTGTCCATGGTCATGCGCTGTTAACTTCATTGAAATGATTTGCGTATGATATGTAAAATAAGGACACTATATAACCAATATGAATTGGCCCAATAAGTGTTCAGAACAATGAGAGCATATCTTGGGTGTAAACAAGCGGACAAGGTTCTCTGCTGATAAAGGCTGGTTGTATAGATACTATATACCTCTTGTCTGGTGTTCATGGTTGAAAAGTTTTGTTTTCAAATGTGCAGATTGACAAGTATATCCATTTCTAGACAGAATAACAGAGATAACGTTATTGTTGAAACGTCTCATTGTTCAGAATAAATGGTAATATCTATTTATGTAGACAAATCATATCCCTCATATATGATACGTTGAGATGTCACATCTGTAGAAAAGTGAAAAAAATATAATCAGCTTGCCACTACCGTAACAAGTGACTTTTTGGTATACCAATTGTTAAAATATTCTACCTAGATCAGTTGTGACATACCTAGCTGTGTCAGTAACAAGTGACTAGATGGTTCACCACTGTGACATACCTAGCTGAGTCAGTAACAAGTGACTATGTGGTTCACCACTGTGACATACCTAGCTGAGTCAGTAACAAGTGCCTAGATGGTTCACCACTGTGGCATATCTCTAGCTGAGTTAATCAAGTGACTAGATGGTTCACCACTGTGACATACCTCTAGCTGAGTCAGTAAAAAGTGACTAGATGGTTCACCACTGTGACATACCTCTAGCTGAGTCAGTAACAAGTGACTAGATGGTTCACCACTGTGACATACCTCTAGCTGAGTCAGTAACAAGTGGCTTGATGGTTCACCACTGTGACATACCTCTAGCTGAGTCAGAAACAAGTGACCAGATTTTTCACCACTGTGATATACCTCTAGCTGAGTCAGAAACAAGTGACCAGATTTTTCACCACTGTGATATATCTCTAGCTGAGTCAGTAAAAAGTGACTAGATGGTTCACCACTGTGACATACCTCTAGCTGAGTCAGTAACAAGTGACTTGATGGTTCACCACTGTGACATACCTCTAGCTGAGTCAGAAACAAGTGACCAGATTTTTCATCACTGTGATATACCTCTAGCTGAGTCAGAAACAAGTGACCAGATTTTTCACCACTGTGATATATCTCTAGCTGAGTCAGAAACAAGTGACCAGATTTTTCACCACTGTGATATATCTCTAGCTGAGTCAGTAAAAAGTGACTAGATGGTTCACCACTCTGACATACCTCTAACATAGTCAGTAACAGGTGACTTGTTTTGAAGGGAATAAACATTGGAAATTGAACGTAAGATTTTTTGGTATCTTTTAAAAGTAAATCATAAGGATTAACTGTAAAACTATTTTTACGTTATTGAGGTATATGCGACAAGGGCACGTGGTTGGTTGGTTACAGGTTTGCCGGTTCCTTTACTGTTCTTGTGGCTGGCGATGTCTTGCCGACGAATGTCAGTGTTTTGCGTCGTCAAGAGTACCTCAACTCTTTCAGCAATCTTAGAAACCTAAACTATGTAACCAAACCCGATAATGATACACAACATACCATCTTGCTAACTAGCCGTATTTCATAAATCAGCCCTTTTGAGGGTATTATCTTAAACCAGAGGAACATCGCACCATATAATTGTCTCGGGAACCCGGAACGGTCATCACACAAACGTCTCTGGAACTCGAACATGGCATCACATAAGCGTCTCGAAAACCGGAACATGGCATTATACAAGCGTCTCGGGAACCTGAACATGGCACCACAGAAGTGTCTCGGGATCTCGAATCTCGCACCACACAAGCGTCTCGGGAACCCGAATCTCGCGCCACACAAACGTCTCGGGAACCCGAACATCGCACTACACAAGCGTTTTGGGAGACCGAACATGGCACCTCTCAGGCTTTTCAGGACTCGTCAGTGATGCTAAGGGCCTAAATTTTGAAACCTAGGAAGAAAATCACAAGTAATAGAGTGAAATGTCAGTATCTAGATGGGGAAGTGCATTTACCATGGCGGAGTACCTATTTCAGTAAATGTGTATTCGGAGTCACCGTGTCTTAATATAGAACATTTACGTCCCGAAAATGATGTGTTTAGATTCAGCTGCCTTGAAGTTAGTACATGTATTCGCTGTGTGTTAAAATTGCACTTGAAGACGAGGAAACCCCATGTTTTTTTGCATATTGCTTCAGGTATCAACTTTAGTGATCTATAAAATATAACACATGACACATCAAAGAGATTCTTTCTGATAACAATAGAGGTAGTCTTACTGACCAACACACAAGGGAGGTAGCCTTACTGACAAACACACAAGGGAGGTAGTCTTACTGACCAACACACAGTGGAGATAGTGTTACTGACCAATACACAGGGGAGGTAGTGTTACTGACCAATACACAGTGGGGGTAGTCTTACTGATCAATACACAGTGGAGGTAGTCTTACTGACCAACACACACGGGAGGTAGTCTTATTCAACAACACAAAAAGGGAGGTAGTCTTAATGACCAACACACAGGGGAGATAGTCTTACTGACCAACACACAAGGGAGGTAGCCTTACTGACCAACGCAGTGGAGGTAGTCTTACTGACCAACACACAAGGAGGTAGTCTTACTGACCAACACACAGGGGAGATAGTCTTACTGACCAACACACAAGGGAGGTAGTCTTACTGACCAACACACGATGGAGGTAGTCTTACTGACCAACACACACGGGAGGTAGTCTTATTCAACAACACAAAAAGGGAGGTAGTCTTAATGACCAACACACAGGGGAGATAGTCTTACTGCCTTACTGACAAACACACAAGGGAGGTAGCCTTACTGACCAACTCAGTGGAGGTAGTCTTACTGACCAACACACAGGGGAGGTAGTCTTACTGACCAACACACAGGGGAGGTAGTCTTACTGACCAACACACAAGGGAGGTAGTCTTACTGACCAACACACAGTGGAGGTAGTCTTACTGACCAACACACAGTGGAGGTAGTCTTACTGACCAACACACAAGGGAGGTAGTCTTACTGACCAACAAACGATGGAGGTAGTCTTACTGACCAACACACAGTGGTGGTAGTGTTACTGACCAACACACAGGGGAGGTCGCCTTACTGACCAACACACAGTGGAGGTAGTCTTACTGACCAACACACAAGGGAGGTAGTCTTACTGACCAACACACAGTGGAGGTAGTCTTACTGACCAACGCACAGTGGAGGTAGTCTTACCAACCAACACACAGGGGAGGTAGTCTTACTGACCCACAAACAATGGAGGTAGTCTTACTGACCAACACACAGTGGTGGTAGTGTTACTGACCAACACACAGGGGAGGTCGCCTTACTGACCAACACACAGTGGAGGTAGTCTTACTGGCCAACACACAGTGGAGGTAGTCTTACTGAACAACACATCAGGGAGGTAGTCTTACAGACCAATGCGCAGGGGAAGTTGCACTTATGTCCACAGTTGTTGTTTGAAGGTTAAATTTTACTAACTAAACTAAACTAAATTCTTACACAGGTGTAACATTCGCCGCTCATTTTTTTGTACATTTCTATCATGTTTTTCTTGATGTTTTGAAGGGCAATACCGAAAAATAGTTCATTTGCGTGGGATTTATTTTCGCTCTTTCAATGGTTACCGCTGAACTTGAATTGATATGTCAATGAAACTGTTGACTGTTTACATTAGTAAAGAAATAATTCTTAGATATCTTTTAACATCGAGTTCTGTTTAAATTGACAGTAGCATAATTGTGTGTGTACAGCCATTCGTGATCGAATTCCAGGGTCAAAGAAATTACACTTCAGACGAAATTTGAGCCCACGAAGATTTTTTAAGAAGATCAACACACAAATGTATAGTACCTATCAATACAAATAAGAATTACATACAGTAGAGTCAAATAATAATGATTTTTGGGTAGCCTTTGCCCTTGTCTGGGTTGTGTCACGCGACTGCTGTCCGATCCCAGACGTCGTCCTAACTGAAGCATGACCCTTTAATGTTTAGCCGTAGATTGGCGAGGCTGTTTCAACTATCAACATGGTAATTTACAAGTTGGAAAGTGGTAAAATGAGGTCAGTTTAGTCCGCTGTCATGCTAATGTAACCAGTAGTTTCATGGTTCAGTGTCAAGAGTGATCAACTGGAAAAGCGTGTGTCAGAAACTCTAAAAGTCGTGCGCAATTCTAAAGAGCGAATTGATGAGACATTGGCAAAAACAACTAATTGTGAGATAATTACTCAGGGATTCAATGATGATCACTCAAGCGGAATCGAAAGGTTCAAAAACAAACTGAAATATGTCCTTCAGACAATTAAGAACCGTGTAGAGGTTGTCATGGAAATGAACAAAAGTCTTGAATTGACAACAGAAAACAGCGAACGTTGTAAACAGACAATGGTGGCATTTCAGAAACAAGTAAACGATATCAAGAGACAAATGAAACAGGAAAAGGAGGGACATTCAGGACATATGACTCCTAACGTAACTGGAGAACAAAACAGAAACCAGGAACCCGCACAACCGCCTCCACATCCTTTCTTCGCCACACCTGAGTACCTCTAAACCTCAGAACAGTCATCTTTGATGTAGTAAGAGGTAAGACTCTCCTCAAGTCGAATAAGAGTGAAACTGTGCAAAACGAGCAGGAAAAATATAAAGGAATTAAAACAGAGACTGAAGTCCCGATTCCAGTTCATTTTCCTTCTTCCGTGTGCGGTTCATATAGTATAGAGAAAGTTGCTGTTCAAGCACCGCAGTCGGCAACATCCTCTAGTTCTCGTTTTGTCGGATTCACATCAACAAAAAATGAGACGAGTCCGAAGATACTACATACATGGCATAAACAAGTTAAAGTCATCAGCTGAGGCACTTCGCGATTACCTGTCCTGAACTCTATCAAATATTCTTATGTACGGTATTTCTCGCGTTCTTGGAAACGTACTTCATCGGCTCAACTCATTGTAACTGATGATGGAACTTTCATAAACCTAATTGAAGATCCATCGTTTTGGCCAGATAGTGTCAATGTTCGTGAGTGGATACCTCGAGGTGCCTTCCAGAATCAACATGAAGACACAAGATAATTCAAAGCTTATGTGTTGGAGCATCGAAGGTATTATGGCTGGGATGCCGTACCTCCTGACCTCTTTAGAGAAGTATGGCATTGATATATGTAGAATTTCAGAGCATTGGATCAGGGAATGTAACTTGTCCCTTTTTGATTCATTTAGAGGCACGGGCTATTCTTGTTTTGTTAAACCAGTTCAAGAACTAAACCCGTTTCGCTACAGGTGTGATATCAAAGGTGTGTGTATTGTTTAGAGATCACTTCAGAATACAGGAATATATTGTTGAAAGTCTAAGAATATTAGGACTTGAAATTCAGTTGCCAGGTAGTGAATATATCTTTTTTTGTTTGCATGTCAGCAACCGCCAGGTCAATAGTTTTTGTGAGACATATTGATATGCTGGAATCTTTAGCTTCTGTATATTCCGTAAAAGGAAAGATCATTATATTGGGAGATATGAATGTCCAAATTCATGGTAGTCGGTGTCACTTTGTTGGGAACGATAGGTCATTCAAATTCATAGATGTGTAAAGGTCCTACGTACACGTATTTTCCTGCAACAGGCCACAATACTACTATTGATCATATTATGATCGAGTCTTCTTGTTTAGATTTGGTTATCAATTGTGAAGTTTTAGATGATCATGAACCGAATGTACTATGAATATTTCTAAATAAAACCTAGTAAAACGTTAAGCCCCGCTTTAGTGAGATTTAAATGTGAGACGCAATAATAAATGGATCGATTGACTTTTACACTGTTAATGAACTCCTAGATAATATAAGTGTACCTGAAGATGATACAGAAGTAGATGACGTAGAAGTTTTTTACAGTCAGATCCAATCTTCTTTACTTAAGGCTGCAGAGAGGTCGATAAAAAGAAGTTCCTTTAAGAAATATTTAAAACCATACTGGAACAAAGAATTATCACTTCTCCATAGTGAGATGGTTTTCAAAACTTCAACTCGGATCGCATCGAGTCGACCAAGAGGCGAAAGTAATTTGTTTAGAATTTACAAGTCTATCAAAACCAAATTTAGACGACTTCTTCGTTGCGCATTTGATGTGTATTTGAAGGAAAAATTCACTGAGCTCGATAAATGTGGCGATGTCGACGAAGAACTCTTTTAGAAACTTTTTAAGAATTTTTCTCTGGGGTGATCACTTCAGTAAACATTTTCATAATGATATAACTCTTTTGAGTCATTTGACGACAATTTTCTCAAAATGTGTTACTCAAGATTAGTGAAATCCGAACTGATATTCACATAGAAAAAAACACGTTTTTATCAGATATTTTAGTGTTGATGAAATACGACGTGTTTGTATGGAAAGCAACAAAGCTGGAGTTGTGATAATTTGGTTAATGAACATATTAGATATGGAGGAGATAATTTGCTCACTTACATCAGTAAATTATTCAATTTCATTATGAAGAATGCACAAATACCTTAAGCTAGCAAAACAGGTATAATTTTTACTTGTATAAAAGCCAGGGGAAATCCCAGAAATGACCCCAATAGTTACATGTATAGAGGTATAACTTTGATACCAGTTTTCTTCAAAATTTTCGAGTCAGTTCTGGCTCAAAGAATGGATTCC